AGTGTACACTTGTACGAATGATTGTTCAAACAAAAGTCGTTAAAACGTCGCATAGTAAGATACAGCAGATGTGTGCAACATGCATTCGGCTGGTTTCGACTATATTTTGGTTATATCATGCGATCGACTGATCGATAATAAAGTCACACGCAATAATTGACGAGTTCTAAAGTTGAAACTGAAAATTAATGGTGTTCCCGCTTCATATCCCTAAACACTAGAAACTAGAGATCTTAATCAATCTATCATTTTATTTCGGTTTTCTTCGGTTTAAATCAAAACAACACAAAAAAGGTAGGATTTTAAGATTATACAAACTTTCCAACCAGATTCGTAGAAATTAAACTTAATTCAATTTTTTTCCATTTTTTTTTAAGAATTCAGCAGGCGACGCCAATTAAGAAAGATTTTAGTCTATTTTAGAACAGTAGTTCATTGGTCCAGAGACAAGTTTTTTGTGGAGGTTTAACAGACACCTCAATAAAGTCAAATTATGGTGCTATTGTTTGATATGAAACGTTACAGAAATACATTTGTGTTAGTGTGTAAAAAGACTCTTGAATTACATAGTATAGTCTCATTTATTCCTGTTACAGCAGGGGTCGGCAACCTTTTGTCGCTCGCGGGCCAAAATTAAAGGTTGCAACTGACGGGCCGCACATATTTTTAGAAAGTTGAAAACCGAACGGATGATACATTTTATATCAAAGATCGAGCATTGATATATCTCTCGAATAGAATATAAATTTATTTCCTAATTGCATCTCATAAAATTCCGCCATTTGTCTAATTATAATCTAATTTTATGCTCAATAAACGAGTAATTGTGAAATATATACTTGTTAGGTCATAATACAATTTAGTCTAAGGAGTATAATCGTCAAAACGGCTGTTTTGTTACTATAATTCAGTGAAGCGTCGTCGGCCGGATTATATTACTCCGCGGGCCGGATCCGGCCCGCAGGCCGTAGGTTGCCCACCCCTGTGTTACAGCATCCTTGCATTATACGCATACGTATGCACAAGCATAAAGGCATCGACGAAGCATAGGAAGTTAGTATTGAAATTCCGCCGGCACAAAACGCTTTTAATTTAGACGCCGTCTGTCAGTGAATAGTTCGGAGAAAATATTATAGTGCTGTGTTCAGGATTCAATAGTTTTATAAAAATGAACTCACATCATTGCAAAGATTAGGACAGCGGTTCCCAAAAAAGGCGCCAAGCGGCGATTTGCTAAGTGCGCCCCGAAAATTAACAGAACTGTGTTAATAATTAACCTTTTGAGTTTATTCTTTGAAAGGCAAAAGTAAAGTACATATTTATGATCACAAAATTGTAAATTTTATTTTTAAGGCAACATTTTTTGTGTAAGTTCGCCACGAGTTTTCCCCTGATAATTTGGCGCCGCGCGAACAAACAATTTGGGAACCGCTTGATTACGGGGATTATTGGAGTGGCAGCCCAGTGAAAATATCCCGGCATTTTGAAATCTAGAGCTTCTTGCGTAAAAGTAGAATTTTGCACGCAGAATTGTGGTTGACAGTATTTTTGACGCACGAGGAAGTGTGTTCATTCATTCTGCTCTGTCAAAAATCATGCAAATACTCATTCAAATTGTTGCAGACTCATAACATGTCATACAAAGGAAATTCAGAGCGATGCGGCGAGCCCAGCGACTGAACGTTTAGAATTAACTGTGTTGGTAGTTCTTTATGCTTAGTTGCCTACACTCAAAAACTGTATCAGTGCCGGTTGTGTCCTATAGCCCGATGCGTGTACAAATTTATTGACGATGAGCCCCTTTAACCGAGTGCGCCTTATGGTCTTTAAAATACGATTATCTGGAACTGAGCTTCTGATCATTCCAAATAATAGTAGCTAGTAGTTGCTTGTAGAGTACCTTATTATGATTGAAATGCGTGAAAAACAGCCGTACAAGAACACAATAGTTACAATAGTCAACTTATAAACAGGGAAGGGAACTTCCGTTTCAAATTAACGTCCATCGGAGTGACTTCGTTGAGCCTAGAAGACCATTGTATATATACAGCATAAAGTTAACATGGGAATTGGGTGCTATTAGTTGACGTGATTGTGTTAGAATTTTCTTATTTCAATTTATTTGAGTATAGGAGGGTTTTCACAGTCGGTGAGGAATCAGTTTTACGAATATTGTTTAGCTAGTTGGTGTTATTGTAATCTGATAATACATATTTATGCAAAACATTTCAAACTGTACAAAAGCCAAGGTGTGAGTTGCGTGCTACTCTAGCTCATGATCCATCAAATATTTTTTATTCATAGGACAGGACGAAAGAATATTGCAAAAAAGACCCTCGGTACGCTCCTATTTCAATGTGTTATTTGGGAGGTAGTTATTGTACCCAGTCTTGCAGATCTTGGGATATACAGCACTACCAGCAGTATTCTATTTGTTTATTTATACCCTATTTGGTACTCCTGAAGTATGCGCACCAAGATGTCGCATAACCTGAACCCTAACCTTCGCCATCTTGGTGCGCATACTTTAGGAGGTCCTCCTATTTTCTAAAGAATGTAGCACCTTGGAATCGCACAATCTGAGGCAGTGGTTACCAATCTTTTATTGACCATGGTCCGCTTCAGGAGACTTCTAGCACTCGTGAACCCCTGATTATCATTTCAGTTATATTTCTAGCGGTCTTTTGATCGGTAGATTCTAAATCTTAATATGTTTAAACATTTCATGTAGAAAAAAAAAATGAAAACAACTTGTGAAATACCCCCATCAAGCAATAAAACTATGAAGAATGGGGGATTCTTGTGAAGTGAAAATAAAATCAGTTTCGCGCCTGGCCTTGTAGCCACACTCCAACTGCTCTGTGGTCACTTCGGGGGCCACGGGTCCGGCTGATCTATGGACAAAGTCATCTTTGGATTTTAACTTGCATTACATATATTCGTAATTATTTCAATCTTTCTATTTTTATGTTATGTTTGATATATTTTTGAAACATGTAGTTAGTTAAACCTCAGTCATGGATTATAAAATACTTTATGGATTTATTGTCTTAATTTCGGGATATACTGCAGTGGTATTGGGGAAAAGTAAGTAAACGTAGTCTTTGAATATTTAAAGTTTATTTTATGTATATTGTTTATATTATTATATTATGTATGGTCGGTTAACCAATTAACCCATGTCTGTCCTATCATTGGCAGTGATATTTGGTTTACCGATGAACCACTATCTGCCCTACAAATGACGATGATATTCGGTTAACCAGTTAATCACTATCTGCCTTACAAATGGCGGTGATATTCGGTGAACCGATTAACCACATTCTGCCTTACAAATGGCAGCAATATTCTGTTAACCAATTAACCACTATCTGCCTTACGAATGGCGGTGATATTCGGTTAACCAATCAACCACTATCGGCCCTTCATTTGGAGGTGATATTAGGCTAATTGATTAGCCACTATTTGTTCTTCGAACAGCGAGATGCTCGGTCAACCATTAAACTACCATATATAAAGGTAAAGATGATGTTCGCTGAGCTCCTCAACCAATTTCCGTCCTACATCTGACGGTGACATTCGGTCAACCAATTAATGGGGTTACGGTATATATTAAGTGGATTTTGATAAACTACTGGAAAAAGAGGAGAAACACATTTGCGCCTAAAAAGGAATTGGGTGCGATCGTTATATATTAATACCAATAAAAAAGTTATCGCCGTCTAAAAGCATTCATATAGAGTTTTATCATAATATGTGTGCATCGACCAAACTATGATGAAACCAAAGCGATAGGGGTATTTGTTTATCGCCAATCAGTGTACTAAATTGCATGAGCTGTTACGAATTCGAAAGATGCACTCATGAGCAATCCCGGTGGGCGCAAGAACTATAAGAACTGTTTAATTTGAATTAATGCGAAAAGGTCATAATGGATATAGTGGTGGCAAAGGGGTTAAGCAATTTGGCGGCATTTACCGCGAGGCATAAATTCATACGCCCTTTCCAACGCCATTTTACTCTATTCTTGAACGATTTACTAAAAATCGAGCGTTTTTAGGCTTACTATTAATAATCCTTTCACCAAATAAACCTAATGTTATAGATGAAAATGCGCGATTATATATCTTGGATAACTTCGACAGCAAAATACGTCTGTCGAGCGATTGTTCAATCTGGCATTTTTCGGAGCAAATCGCACGAGTGTGTGCCGTATTACGTCATTATACGAAAAATGGCTCCCCCAAAATTTTAAGCTGGCTAAAACGCTCTTGAACTCGGTCAGACGAAGCGTTACAGATATACAATTGTGTCAGCGCGCAACGAGAAGGTGAAACAGGACCGCCATCTTTTCCATTTTGCATTGCATGGGATTTGAACAGGATAATTTGACCTGGGATATTATAGTTAGGTCTAATGCTTTAACCATTAGGCCACAGTGTTTGCAAACAGCATAGAGTGCAATTTGCAACCATTTTTGCCACATTCCTTCCTCTACTTATTGTAAAATTCGTCATTCCCCTTTGGTATGAATATAAAGTCTGTTTTCGTTTGTTTTTCAATATTTAGTGGACCATTACCTAATGATATCCCGCAACCAGTACTCTGATTTTTAGTAAATTGTGATTAGTTCATAATTTTATAAATAAATACAGGGTGTCCATAAAGTTCCTTCAAAATTTCAATATGATGTCAGTTCTCAATATATCTTATCCAGTTTTTTTAATAAAGTATTTTCGCTTCATTCAATACATCCGTTAGAGCAAAACAATATATGATATCGACAAATTTTCTTTGCAATTTGATTTTTTTCAAGACTTTATGGACACCCTATATACTAATATGTGAAAAATCATAGTAATATTACAATCAAATTTCCTCTATTGACGTATTTAAATTCCTCGCTGGTTGGGAGAGCTTTATTTTAAGGATTAATATAATTTGACAGTGAATAATATTTAACTTACTATTAATCCACACTTTGTTTCATTCAGATTGCGACTTTCAAGATATGAGCATCGAACTGACCAAAATAAACGGACAATCAAGTCTCGACCCTCCTAACGTTCTGAGATCAGTCGAATATCATATCGAATTCCCATGCGAGTCGACTACAAATGCCATTTTAACTTGGCGTAACTCGAGCAATAGTCCTTTTCCAAATGGAAAAATGAGTGTTACAGTGAACACGAATCAATCGATGACGTATAACATTAGTGACGTCATCCCGGGATATGACACAATCGATTTAAGTTGGAAAGGAATTGTAGACTTTCGTCTCGAACTTACAGCGTCTAAGATTGAATCCAGCACGCTAACTGTGGAAATGAACGCGACTGCTGTTACGGACATAGTTAGAAAAGATGTTCAAATAGCGAGAAGTGAGTAGCGTCATCTAGAGTGTAAAATACTGCAGAGTCAAGAAAACTTTTCAAAGTTGATTTTGGATAAAATTTAAATTTTTTTGGACTTTTATCATTATTGAGAGTTTGTAATTCTAATCATAATTTCTTGGAGTTTGATTATATACGACTCTGGCCCCCACCCTGGGGTAAAAACAATTCAGAATTGTAGGAAGTGAGTAGCGCCATCTAGGGTGGAAATAATTGTTATTTTATTACTCTGTGGAGTCCGGCTTGAAAAAAAATTTACATTTTCGACTGAGAGTTAAAGAAAAATTTGATTCCGATTTTGGCTCCAAAAATTGAAAAAATCAAAGAAAAGATATCCTTTTTATTCTGGAGAGCTGATAAGACGGCATAATAATATGGTGCACGGCGGTCTATCGTCTGATCCATGTTCAGGATTGATTCCTCAGTCCAATGATTTTCAACCAGGGTTCTGCTAGGACAGTTCAGTGTTGCACAAGTTTACATTTAAATTTGAGAGTCAAGATTATTATATAAATAGATCATGTTTAAAAAGAAAGTGTAATAGATTTGCCACTATCAATAAACTTTTTAAATACTTCTGTTTTGCCAGTACTAGGTTTGATTAATTTCAGATATATCTATAGACAAGACATAAGTAATACTGCTGCACAGGTGTTTCTCGAACCTCTAAAACTGACATGGGCAAACTAAGCCTCGCACGCCAAATCCAGCCCGTAATTCAATCTCACCCGCTTGATGCTGCCACAACTAAACTAAAACCAAATTTTGATGTTTCAACTATAAAAATTGCTCACTGAATTTGTTGAGATTGCGTTTAATTAGGCATGAGGATTATTGATTACAATTTTGCTTTTGGAACACTGTGAATATTTTTCATAAAATGTAATTTATGATTAAAATATTTCGTCGGAGTTCCTCTACACCAAAAAAGGTTGAAAACCACTTCCCATATAGGCTTTCAGCCTGCCTTGCCTATTGGTGATTCCGACGCTCAATATAACGAATTCATCTACACTATCTATTTATAGATTGCACGTCCGGAAATAGAAGCCCAACACACATATGGGATATCAAGAAAACGCAACATTCGTACAAAGAAAATTCCACAATTGATTGCCGAATCCTTACAAATTGTTCAGGGAAAAGCGCTGATAAAGGCAAAATGCTGATGCTATGTGGCGTGGACGGAAATTGGATACAAAAGCAATTTTGTGTGGTCGGAGGTGAGGAAAATCTTTAGTCGATTTACTCTACTATTCAAGTAAGCGCGATGGAGTATGGGTTTAATGCAGTAATCGGCAAACTGCGCCGGCGGGGCAAATGCGGCCCGTGAACTACTTTTTGGCAGCCCTTGAACATGTGCTGCTGTACCGCGCTTGTTTTGTAACAAGTAGCGTCAGTTGTATGTTGTTTTCTTGTTGAACTATCGTTAGTTGTAATTATCAGTTTGGTTTATTTCGATTTTCAAAATTTGGCAATAAAATGCCTGAAAAACACAGGAAAGTTCGCGACGAGATTCGAACTTTCCAAAGTGCCTGGACTGAAAAAATATTTCGGTCTCGAGCATTTCAAAACCTGTTTGCTGCCAGCATCGCAATTATTAGGAGATTTAATGTTTAAGTTTAATGTTTAGGAACGTGATCAGAAGCCTTTCCGTAATTGTTATCTTACGCAATTTGCGACGCTACACGTCTTGACTGTACGTAGTAACATCTTCGGGACGTCACATGATCGCTATTGCGTAGCTACGTAATCAGTACGCCATAGCCGCTTATTGAACTTGATCATCCGACACAAGAATGCATAAGAATTGCTATATAATATTTCGCTATAATTTCGGTTATACAATAGCCACGGAGCAATTCAAGTATAAGCTAAAAGCATACCAGGAGCTATATGTGATTGGTAATATATTTCTCATCAATATACTAGATTTGGGATCATAACTCACTTACAAGCAGAAAAATTATGTTCAGGCTGAAATTAATTTCTCACTTTTAGACAAACTTTATTTCAAAATGTAACATTTATCTCACTGCAAGATGAAATTTGCTTTCGTTTTAGATGTCGGTCATGATTGTTAAAAAGTTATAAACGTTCAAAATAACCAGTAATTCGAATTATTTTAATGTTCTACCGATACCGAGAATGCGCCACTGATCATCTGTGTGAAAGTGCAAAAATGTGCGGCGTGTAATAAGTACGTTAGGAGGTACATCCCGGTGTCAGCCAATCTAAAATAAATTATACCGTGTTACCCCGAAAATAAAACAGGGTCTTATTTCAATTTCCTCCCGAAAAATAATACTAGGGCTTATTTTCGGGGGATGTCTTACATTTTCATTTATCCAAAACAACATTACAAAGTAGAGAATAACGAGTTTTTTGAATATACAAATTAAGAAAACCGATATCCATTTACATATAAATACCACGTTTTTATTCAAAATAACTGCAAAACATAGATTATTGTTATTCATTTAAAACGTGTAGGAGAAATTTCTTGCTATCGACTAGATAAAAAAAAATCGCGTTATTGACTCTTATTAAGGGGAGGGCTTATGTTAAAATCATTTTTAAATTCAGGCTAGGTTTCATTTTCAAGGTAGGTCTTATTTTCGGCGAAACGCGGTACCAAGAATATCTTCTCACTCGCTTGCCAGATCGCCCTTTGAAAAACGTATTGCAGGACAGCGATGCCATCAGCTGATTTTACCGCTTTGATCGGCACACATAAATAACATCATCCTTCACATCGATGCTAAGTAAATAAAAACAATGTATTGTGTTGAACTGTTTGATGAAAAAATAGCTACATATACTTCTAATTGTGACAGACTTTTAACGTAGTATCAGGAGTCGTGAGGGCGCCATAATTTGAAGTAAATGTGACGATTTTTTGTATGCGAAAATTAATGCGGCCAGCATGCTACCGCAAATTTGTATTTGACCAGCTAGCTAGTAAAATTTTCCTGACCACTGATAGATAATGTTAGATTTATACCTGTGTAGAGATTGCACATTACACGTCTCGAGTTCACTGTAATATAGTGACCTTTGACCTGTGTCCGTTCATGTCTGAAGGTGACTTTAGGTTCGTGTACTTATCACGTGGACTGTGGTACATTCATACAATATTGATTACATGAGTTGTAACTGTGTGCATTAACTTTTTAAGTGTATCTATCTGGAATGTGTTCTGTTTCGAATGTGAATAAAGTCTGTAATAGCAATATAGTTGTGCGTGCTTACACACCACCTTACATTCACATCGTATTCCTACCGGTGCTCCCGAAGTATGTGAACTAAGATGGCAGACACCGGAACGTAGTATGTGTACCAGGTTAGGGTTAAGCCATAATTTCAGGTACAAATACTACGGGAGTCACTTGACTAGTCCCGAACTCGTAACAGGACTAAAATAAGGAAAATTGGAATAAAATTGTGGCTTAACCCTAACCTGGTACACATACTACTTCAGGTGTCCGCCATCTTGGTTCACATACTTCTGGAGCGCCTCTTTCTGTTTCATACATCGCAATTTTGGTAGCGTACAATGCTACTATTCAAGATATTGAAAACCCATGGATCCACTAGCTTTTATACTCTAAATTAACTATTACAAAATTCCAGACCTCCTTTAACAATTCTTGGCTTCCCTGCATAGCAGCTGTTATCGTTAAATATCACTGGATACTCATGCAAGGACCTGTTCAGGCAGGATTTTAATTATTTTTTATTACCTGTTCCTAGTGAATCGGTGCATTAGCGCAATTTCAGACGCTGTGTGTAAACAATGAGGTCTGAAATGTTTGTTATGGTCTTGTTTGGAAGAATAGCTCATTTCCTACCCAGCAATATAAGAATGAATGTTATATGACATTTGGAAGTAATAAAATATCGCTTACATTTCACGAGTGTACTTCCCGCTGCGATAGAAAAACGTCGCAGAACAAGAAAATAATTCAATAAACTTGGCGTTGCGCGCTAACCAATAACAAAAGCTAGTATGATAAGGTCTTATTTTGAAGGTCATTTTATATGCTACATAACATAGGAGAGTGGACATCTCACAGCGTCAAGAAGTTAATATCGACGGAGGGGAAAAGCCGAAAACACGTCTAAATCATATAGAATCTACTTATTCTAGTCAAGTTACCAATCTAGGCTAGATGTGTGAGTTGTTGACCAGTAATTTGTTCAAATAAGTTAAGACGGCGAGTCCATCAATCATTTGAATCGATTTCAAGCTTTTAAATTTCACTTTTCTTTTTACAGCAAAGCTCGTGGGGATCTCGCCTGGAAGTTCGGATACATCCGATCTTGCTAAAGATTCTAGTGCAATATTTCAATGTAATGATAGGTCAAAATACTCTTCCGTTGTCGTTGGATACGATCAATCGTCCTCAAACGAGGTAAGTTCCATTTTGGGCAGCGCAATGGCATAAAGCAGGGGTGTGCAACAGGCAGCCCGCTGACCGCAAACCCTGCCCACCGAGCCCTTTAGTGTAGCAGTTATCAGCACTCATATCTTCCCCATCATGCATAAAATCCTAATCCGACAGTTTATATTTAAAAAAGCGCTCACATGGGTAGAAAATACATAATGTTTTTTTCTCTCTTTTCGATGAGTTAATTCTTTTGCCGCTTTGTCCGGCGCCTATCTTACTGTAATGCTAAGCGATAGCCGCATTATTGTGTTACCCATCTAGTCTGAACTTGGTAAGATGGCCCACCGACAAAAAATAATTAATTCACCTGGCCTAGAGATTAAAACTTTAAATCTGACTGTATCGGTATTACAGTTCAAAATCTCGGGTTCGCCCAACTTTTCTACTGCCCAGGACGAGTTTCTGACAATAATGCCTTTGAAATCTGACAGACGATCACATTGGCGGGAAAGGGCAGTCAGCCATAGCTGACTTAACGTCACTACAATCAGTCAAACAAGACTATACGCGTAATGTCATCCTTCACTTAAAATAAAAATACATCATAACGAGATGAACATGTGTAATAACGCGAATTCTACAGCTTGGATCTGTTGCTCCCTGCCACAACACCCCACCCCCAGTCCCCTGCCTTAATGTCATTCAGGGATTGAAAATCAGCAAGAGCGAGCCCGACCGATTCTGATCCTCCAAATAATAATGGTAACAGATAGTAAGATATAAATGATTATGTCATTTTCGAACATTTTCGTAATATTTTTTGAAAATTGCTGATATATTTTATAAAGTCAAACAATCGGTCACAATATGCAGAAAGCAACTATAGTTGGAAGAACCGGGTTCCCGTATTATTGGCTCGGCTCGGTGTGAGCAGCCAATAATACTAATCTTTTTCATACAACTCAACTTTTAGTCTATCGCTCGTAACAATGCATTGTACAATCGGCCACCGATATCTAACGAATAATACAAGTTCAAAGGAACACAGCCCAGTTAATTTTAATAATCATGTTTCACAGACCTTCGAAATAAAGAGCATCAATATCGATAAACACCACGGCAAAACGATAATGTGTCGCTGGACTCATGTGGACAACCCCAACGACACTCTAACGCCGGGAAATGTGACTATAAACGTTACAAGTAAGTCCTAAGTAAACTAAGCGCTAGCGATACGCTCGCCCCCGCACCTCTGATTACCCCCGCGTGGGTTCGCAGGTTCCAATCCCATGCGGGGTAAATTATGTGCGGGAGGATTGCTGGACTCCTTGCCGCCATAGAGTGGTTCACGTAACTGTTGGTCGGTTACGTCTTCCTCCACCACCAAGTCCATGCATCTGAAAGTAATACCTGACTAACTAATCTCATACTCGACATGGGCTGGTAACCAGACAAAGGGTCTTGGTTAGCCATATGGGTAAGCCGTCTTATCGACCTCCCTTCCGGGTTAAATATGCAAATTCTATGCTCATCTGTTTCAAAATATATTGTATTTTTGCTTACCCTAAAATGACATAGTGAACAAAACTGGTGGAAAAATCCATTTCCCATAAGAGGTGTTCTCATATTTGTAGACTTCTTTCAGAATTAATTCGGCGCAATTTCGAAACATTGAGAGTAGGCTACTGTGTCCTAATAGGGTTTTGCGATACGAGGAACAATATTTTATACTTTGAAAATTATTATACGGAAAGTTCTACTCATGGAAACTCCTCGATTGGAATATTTTCCCCATACAAAATTCGGGGCTCCCGGAGTATGCGAACCAAGATGGCGGACATCGGAATGTAATATGTGTACTAGGTTAGGGTTAGGCCATAATTTTAGGTATAAATACTACGGGAAGCTCTTGGCTAGTCTTCGAACTGATAATAGGACTAAAATAAGGAAACTTGAAAAAAAATAATCGCCTAACCCTAACATGTTACGTTCCGATGTCCGCCATCTTAGTTCGCATACTTCGGGAGCACCCAAAATTCAATCCTAACCCCGGGGGCGTTCCCAGGGGAGGAAGAAGGATGTCGGTTTTGCAAGTCGCCCCCTTCGTTTAAAATGTAAAAAAAAAACATTTTTCTGTATCATACATAGCAATTTTTCGTAGCTTGAAACGCTTTTTAGTACCTCAAGACTCCCGCCTAGCTGTTGCGGTCTAACTTGGCAATTAGAAATTTCAGAACCCCTTTGAAAATTCCTGAATACGCCTCTGACTAATCTTGACCCGCACATATAAAGTGAGATTCATGGCATGTTCTTATCAAAAGTTTTTAATAGAAAAATAATATTTTGGCGGATGGCTTGAAATTGATTCCGTGTATAATGCTATATTTTTGGGAACTTCTTTCAATTTTTTGAGTAAATTTCATGGTGGAATTTCTGTACACCACTGTGTTGTATCTCGATCAATAAATGGCTGAATTAAAATATATTTATCTTCTAAATTCAAATCAAATCGAATATTTTTAACTATAGAAATACCTTTCATATCATAATATTGTGCAATCCTAGGCCGAACCTAAAATCAACGTTTGCCGAATTTAGCTAGTGTTGGAGCCGCCGTAATTTTAAATTTTCCCGGAGTAAAAATTAAAAAATAAAGATGGCAATACAGGGTATTGTGTACTGAACTGCAAGTCCTTTCTACCTGTTTATTCCTTACTTCGGATCCGTATGTGTCAGTTGCCATAAGAATGCTTGAACGAGATAGTGTTATGAAGTAAATATTTACTTGAATCGGATAAAGGAGTAGTAGTCAAAACTTCGTCTGGGTCGAGAACCAGTGTCGGTGTTTCGAAAGTTTTCTCCTAGGCTAAACTACAGAAAATAATATATATATATAGCTTTCTTTAGAAAAATATATTATATATTAATATATTATAATTAAATATATTATAAAAATATATATTTAATTCGACATTTTGAAAATTTTTATCTGGAAAAGTTGAATCACGGAGGCCTATAATATATATATATATTATAATAGATATTAAATGGTGATGTTCCGTTATTACTCTGATTTAGTATTGAACAACAAAGAAATCCGAGTAGGGGAAGGAAATAACCTAACTTATGCTAGCTTAAGGTGGTCGGTGGTTTAGAGAATATCCTGCATAGCTATTTCCCAGGCAGTGTCGTCTTGAAGTTATTCCAGTCGCGTGTCAACCTCTACCCAATGACATCCTTGTCGCAAACATGATCATATATACACTGAAATGGTTAAGTCTTCTATCGGTGCTTGTTCTCGCTTTGAGCAAACTTGCAACTTTTCTATCAGTACTTTTTTCCCTCCTTTTTCATGGGTCGGAACCTCACCTGGGGCATATTTGCAACTCGCTTATCAGTATTTTTCCCTTCCACTAAGTAAATCCGTAGTTACTATGATAAGCAGCGGAGTGTCAAACTTTTCTGCTGCCCGGGGCGAGTTTCTGATGACGCCCCTTATATTTAAAACCATACCCACGCAACCATATACCCAAACTAATTCGGGGGATAAACAAATCAAATTATAGATGCCGTCATACACGAGAATGAATATAATGAAGGCGAAGTAAGAGTGAAACGTTTATATTATTAATATTTAAATCATCAAACTCATCTTTAAAACGTGGGAGACACGGTATTGACGGTTAGGCCGTCATGCTCGCCTTCTTTATTTCTCAAAGTTTATCTTGTTTTTCAGCAATTCCTACTGCTGAACGGATGAAGATCGAAGCAACTCCAATAGCAGGAGAATCAGCAGAACTCGATGTTAGATTTCGGTCCAATCCACCGGTACCAATGAAGAATGTGTTGGTTTCAAAAAGTAAGAAAACATTCTAGTTCTTTTACGTTTAGCGAGATTCATCAATGCTTTCCACAACTTTCTTTCCATTCCCTTTTCTTCCAATATGGCGTATTTAAACGCCTCCCGTGCCGAGCAAGATGGCGGACACCGGAACATAGTATGTGTACCAGGTTGGACCATGATTTTATTCCAATTTTCCTCAGTTCAACTTCTATTACGAGTTTGGGGACTAGCCAAGTGACTCCCGTAGTATTTATACCTGGAATTATGGCCGAAATTACGTTCATGTTGATCCCAGCTTCTCATGGCTCGTGCTCGGGAGTTTTTAGCCCTCGTGGTTCCGGTTGATCATTCCAGCGGTATTTAGAATTATATTTTGATTGGTAGATTCCGAATCTCATTAGGTTCTAACAAGTCGTGCTCAGCAAAGTAATAAACCTTGTGAAATAATCTTATCAAGCAATTAAGACCGGGAATTTTTATAGTAAAGGGAGAAGTAAAATCAGTTTTGCGACTAGCCTTGTGCATTTAACTGTTTCTCACGGTCCCGTTTGGGAACCGCTGCAATGAAAGAATAATAAAACTGAATCAAAACATTCATTCTAGGTTTAGGGAAGTTCTCATGTTACTATAACAAGAACAATGGGCCTATACAATGGTAGATTTGGTCGTGTCAGAAAACAGGAAATCGCTCAAAGATTATACTTATACTATGAATGCCATGGGAAGTATTGCTGTCATAAAAAACAAAATTACATACAAAATTTAACTAACGTTTTGTTACTATAGTTGTACTTTATTTGAAAATACGGAGATTTGGTTTAAAAAAGGGGGGTCTCTAAACATCCTGGTATGTTTAAAGGTATTCAAAGGTCACCACGAAAAGTTACTGCCATGAATTCAATTAAAAAGTGATCAAAACGGTTGAAAAAAATAAATTGTACCTTATATCAATTATTCTCAAGTTTGCATTATCATTGGCGCTTCCAATGACTCTCAACACTGCGGTCTCCGGTACTCCCGAAGTATGCGAACCAAGATGGCGGACATAGGAACGTAGTAGGTGTACCCGGTTGGAGTTAGGCCATAATTTCAGGTGCAAATACTACGGGAGTCACTTGGATAGTTCCCGAACTCGTAATAGAAGTTGAACTGAGGAAAATTGGAATAAAATCATGGTCCAACCTGGTACACATACTATGTTCCGGTGTCCGCCATCTTGTAAATAGGAAAATTTGGAATAAAATTATGGCCTAAACCTAACCTGATACACATACTGTACTACGTTTCAGTGTCCGCCATTTTGGTTTACATACTTCGGGAGTACAGTCTCTCCTACTCTATATAAAAATACCCAATTTTGCTTTCAACGCGCTCATATCAACTTTTTTAATGGTAGGAAAGCATGCAAACGAAAATAAAAGAATGAATGCCGTTCAGTAAAATAGTTATGCAACCAACTGCTTATTTACTTCAAATTAAACTGTTCTCCTGTGCCTACCAAAGAATAGTATATCGCCGACTTTGCCTATAGCTATTTTGGAGCAATGTGTGTAAATTTCATGTATATACATTTTCACAGAAAATGGCAATTTATTTCGGAATTTCTTCTTCAAATCAAACGGAATCAATCAAGGAGTTCTGCTCTATTTCCCAAAGGTGAGTTTTATGAAACAGATGGAATAGAGAAGTGTTTCCCAACCTATGGCCTTAAAATCTTCTTAGGTCGCCCTTTTTTCAACAAAAGCTTAATAAAAGTTATTTTTTTTTTAGTAAAGTTTGTTTATTTTATATTTGTTTTATTAGTGTTGCTGTTTGGCCCTCAATTAAAAAAAATAGAATTGTTAAAAAAAGATTGGGAACCACTGAAATAGAGCACGGCTCAACGCAGGCGTACACAACCTGGCGACCCCAAGTTGTGTACGCCTGCGTTGCTAAAGCTAAAATTCGCCACCGTGCTCGTGTATGAGTTAGCTTCAAAATAAGCACAGGTCAATTTAACACTACTAATCAGACAAGCAGTTTACAACAATGACCAATGTATTGTTGTAAAGTACTTGTCAAAGGAAGTCTGATTTTGGTCAAACGAAACGTTAAACAAATGCAATATTTAATCTTTTCTAAAACATATCTGTCTTTCAAAGGTGAAGTCATCAGACTATGGACAATACAACATAACGGTAATCGGACAGAATCAATACTGCAGACCGGAGAATGTCACATTCACTGCTGTTTTAAATAAATCACCTTTAGCCTTGCACCCAGGCTATATAGTAAGCATAACGCTTGGCTGCTGCCTACTGCTGGTCATAATAGCTATTGGTTTATTATTCCAAAAGTATCGTCATGGAAAGAAAGCCGGTCAAATTTCAAACAGCATTCAGATGGCCCCAGCTGCAAAAGTTAGCGCGCCAGTATCAGGTGAGACTTTTATACCGGGTACTTCAATAGGGCCCTCGCGCCCCCGTAGTTTACCATGGAGCGATCCTCTAGGGCAGGGCTACTCAACCGAAATCGGACCTTTCGAGTATTAAATATGGACCGTCATTAAGATAATTCAAGGCGCTGGAAGACTTTCAAAAATGTAAATATTTACGAGTAATATTGGGGCGAATATATCAAATATTTGTAACAAAGTCGGCGCTCGACTACACAACTGAAGCCCTGTCCTACCGGCACCGAAACGTGATATTGAACATTATATTTTTGTTTTGTCGATGCATACGAAATGCTGTTTGAATAGTTATAATATATATTTTGGAATGATCGGACCGCGGTATCTTTCAAATTTTGTGTGCGGACCTTCGATGAAAATAGTTGAGTAGCCCTGCTCTAAGGTCAAGAGCAAAGGCTTTCACTAAGTATCATTCGTATGATTAGAATAATTTAAATCAAATTGGTTTATTAAATTAAGATAGGCACACGGAGTTTAATTCCATTTTTATTTTTGTCTGTATTTTTTATAAAAATAATTTTAATTAAAGCCCTCCCCTTAAAATAAGATCTAGTCGATAGCACAAAATTTGGGCAAGAAATATTTCCCACTCGTTTTGAGGAAATAATAATTTATGTTTAACAGTTACTTTAAATAAAAAAGTGTTATTTCAAGGGTAATTGGATATCGGTTTTCATATTTTGTATATTTAAAAACCTTGTAATTATCTACTTTGTAATTTTGTTTTTAATAAATGGAAAAAGAAGGCATCCCTCCGAATATAAGCCCTAGTGTTATTTTTCGATGGAAAATTGAAATATTTTTGGGGAAACACGGTTTTGTCCAAAGTAAAGAGAAATTAAACAAGGGGAGATTGATGACTAAAGACTCAGGTGTTTTGGGTCCTTGTGTTCTGAACAATTATTATTCTCTGGCGCCACACTTATTCGCCGAACAACCAACGCTTTTATTCCACATATTCATATTGTTTCTAATATGTAGTATCCAATTCTTTTTACTATCCAATATTCTTCTATACATCGTCTTGCAGCTAATTACTATTCGTCTTCAAATCATAAGACGACATTAAACCAATCTGAAATTATTAGCAATAACCCATTCTCTTACCAAATAAAACCGTTTGAAAGACGAGAAAAATTTTTGCATTGATTTGCCTATTTTTTTATCCATACTACTAATATTATTTAAAAACAAAATTTTTTGATTTTCAGGACATACCAACCCAAGTCGATCCCATCATAACCAACAGTACCAGCACGATACTGACGATGAATTCGACACGGATGACGACGCAGCGTCACGTGACGTAGACGACAGACCTCCAATGCCTGTGCCTCCACCGTAAGTTGATAATTCACGGAACAGCCAAATATTTTAGGTTATCCCCCCTCCCCCCAATTTCTATTTTAAAGACATTCATTCCTTACTCATTTGCACATTAACTTTATTTCCGTTTTGTTTGGTGATGAATCACTAAGTTTTTTACAGTTTGAATATATATTAAATATGTTTCAAAACAACACTAAATACGTCATAAGTATCAACAAATGCAAAGTAAAATGTTGTCCACAAGTACGATAAATATTTATGATTGAAAAACGCAGTGCTAAGGTTTATGATTTTTCGTAGATTGACAATTTTCAAATAGTTTTTCAAGAAACACGCACTCTGAACAAACCCCCACATTCTAAATCACTTTGACAAAAATTTTATTCATATTCTTTTGTTAGATCTTGATCCATTATCTCTCTCCTGAACTAAGCCAAATAAGAAGTTGTTTATAAGTACAAATATTTCAAATTTTGTGTTCATCAAATCGAATTAATAATACCACATAGTGTTAAATTGGATACTAGATGAAGCCCAGAATTTTGAATTCCCCGTAAGAACTCAGTAAAAAGTAAAAACTTGCTAGTTTTGAAAAGACTCTAATCTGGCCCATCACTTGGTTAGTTCCCCAGTGTCACAACATAGTACCAACACCCAAAACATCAAAGCCCGCACCCCCAAGACTTTTCAACCTGTTATACCTTGTTCGTTTTGATGTGACTTTGCGCATCAGAATGAGACTAGACAAAGGAAACTCCTAGATTCAAACCTGGATTATACTATTAGTCAAAACCGAATGAAGGACATGATGATTAAAAAAACTTCAATCTGGCTCATGTATATCAACTATAAATGATTTTTTTTCAAAGAATTTGCTCAAAGCGAGGTCCCCGCACTCATTCTGAAGTAACGAAAAATATTCTCCAACTCTAAGTAATGAACGGCCACTGATATGCCAAGAGCTACTGAAAATATGGTGACGGATTACGCACCAAAAATACCACGCGAGAGTCGAAGCAGAAGGCTACAAACGATACGATGCACAACTAACGTTGTTTTGTGACTAACCTATATAAAAATTATTTTCCAGGCCTCGGAAATCAAACTACGAGCCGTCAAACTCACGTATGCAGCCGCCACCTTCGCCTATTCCACAAAGGTATCAGCAGCAAAACCTACCACCACCCCGTGGTATCAATCCGCCGCCACTACCATCTTCACATGGAACCAACCCACCACCGCCTCCATCTCCTCGCGGCTTTAGTTCGCCGCCATTACCGCCAAGTCACCGAGTCGCGGTGCCACCAATGCGTGACGTGGCGCCTCCGCCGCCACCTCCATCGTCTCGACGCCCAGAACCCATGGACCAGAACAGAGGGTATCCTGGTTACCCTAATAGTCCACATAACGGAAATGATCCTCGCACAGCGACTCTCCCCCAGCAAAGGGGGGTGAACACCCTGGACTACCGTTATCGGTAATCGTACTATCGATAGCAAAGAATTTTTAACCGCTAACCGCTTGAATTTAACGACACATCATTGCTGCAAAAAATTGAACCGCGGGCCACATTTCATCAACCGTCAGAATGCCTGAATAGCTTTTAGAAATGCAAAAATTTAACTCAATATGGTTCCAATATTGTTTTAAAATAGCTATTCTTCCAATGAAAAAAAAAAGGATTTGTTTGGTTTCTAGGATACATCGTATAATGTTTGTAAATTATTTAGTGCTTCAATAGGGTGAGGGTCTACCACCATATGTCGCCTAGGTGTAGCAAAATGTTTGATAATATACATAATATCATTCGTAGGATATGCACGAATTAAGTGTTTATCGATAAATTTGAAACGTATAGAAATAATGAGTGGTATTCATCAGTGATAGAAAATACAGCGGTGAACCTCTCGCTGTGGAAGCGCCCTTTTCTTATCACCATTAACTTCTATGAAAAAAAACGATCTTCGCGCTTGGAAATTGGTTTACGGCATACTTTTCGTGAAACGTTTTTAACATTTCAGAATTTTCACCAAAAAGTATCCTTAATACAAAATGCAGGTATTTTGTGATCGACCCCTACAAGCTACCGAACTAGAAGGCGCTTGATCATACATGCTAAAAATAAGACTTCCAGTTCATTACATTCATTGCACTACGGCTTCTGTGATAACCAGAATTGTGAAGTCAGGGAATGTTTGTTCCCATCCAAAGGCTATGCTAATAAAGTTTTATTGTTTGTTTTTCACAAATCGTGCTTTTATTAATATGTTTCAAGATTTTGGTTCGATAGATTTTACTGTAAATCGTTGTTTCTTTCAGAATAACAGCATAGAAAATTTTTTCGCCACTGTCAACTTTAAAATTCTGTTTTACCATGAATTTCAGTCGAACGAAAAGTTCATGCACCACCCCTCCCCACCTTCCAAATTAATTTCAGTGTTTGCTAATTACAAAATGGCACATGACAACCAATCCCACAAATGTCATAATTAATTCGAGGAATACGAAGACGATTTCTTTTACACCTGTATTTCTGTGATTGTGAAGTCAAGGAATAGTTCTACTTGCTCAAAGGTTATGCGAATAAAACTTATCGCTTCTTACTACTATTTGTGCTTGTTTTACTATGTTTTAGGATTCTGGTTAGATTGACTTTTACTTGAAGCTTTGTTGACTTTTCAGATTTTTACTGTAAAGCGTTGTTGCTTTTTTCAGATTAACATCATAGAAAATTTTTTCGCCACTGTCAACTTTAAATTTCTGTACGTTTCATCATGAATCTCAGTCAGATTGAAAGTTCCTATGCAACATCACGCATTTATTACACTTTTGCATGAGAGGTTCGGCAATGCAGCTTTCCTCTTTTTCTGAATTATTTTTGTTTTCCATTTGTTGCTGATTACAAAATGGCACATAACAAAAACAGGGCGATCCCTCCTCGAATAAAAAACAAAACCCACAAATTTCATAATTAAGTCTACGAAAATGAAGACAATTTATTTAACACTTACGCTTTTATTTTTCTATGGTTGGACTTAAATAATTCAGTAATCGAAGGGAATTCACAAAACAGTTATGTTCTGTTTTTGGTCACCTTGTCGAAATACGTACAGGATTACCGCTAGAGTACTTCACTTCAATAATTTTCTGCAATAGTCAATTTTGGTATATTGCAACTTTTAATTTTATTCCTACATTCCGTCATGAAAGTCTCATGCGCACTAATTTCAGAGTCTGGCAACGACTCTCATACTATTTGTAAGATTGTACTTCAAATTGAATATTATATTCAGGTCATTTATATATTTTATACAAAACTGTTCCACGTCGAACGGGGTCTTGTATTTATCAGTATGAAAGATACTTTTTCAGAAAGGCATGAAAAATCGTTCCGGTTTGGTACTGGCCAATATATACGGGCAGTGATTTCCCTACACCCCCTCAAGGAGATAAAAATTTGAACCACTCAAATTTCAAACATCCCCGTCCTTTAATTTTGAAATGTGACACCACACCTTAATTCCTTACTCGAATAAAATTTTATTTGAAATTTCACGGCGTGGCTCATATACCAGTGTAGATGTTCAGTCAAATATGTATCACATTTTATAAGTTACAATAAGTGGGCATTTTATGTGAATCGATGCCAACATAGCTCTAAACATAAGACTATCGAGGCCAAAGCAACCATATTGACGGCCTAACATAGTAACTTCTGTATTAGAGAGTTATAGCACAAGACTATTGCATCACAAATGATAGAATACTATCAATGTATTTTTTGGACACGACAGTGGACATAACGATCGTTTCAATATTATGTTGTTGTTCTTGTTCATCATCATTATAAAATCACATTTCTCTTCGAATACTGGACCAAATGCCTTGAAATTTTCAGTGGTGAAATATTAATTCTGCCATTCCATTCAAAATTTCTCTGTGTTACCTTTCACGCATGGGAACATTGTTTTAGCGCTTATTTCAAGCGGTTCTGCCAAGCGTGACAGCTTATTCTGAGAATCCTTGCTACTGAAAACTCGGAAGCTTTTTGAGGGTACCGGTAACGTCTGAGGTAAGGACTGCTTCGCTCTGGTCTAGGTAGATAGTGCACGTGTCCATATATTTGAACATTGCTCTCGTGTTATGATCCCTTTTTTTTATCAAACATTCATTAGACCAGGGGTTTTCAACAATGCGTCCGCCAGTACATTTTAGTTTACATTTAATTTTTTTCTAAAGACTATTATTTTATGTATATTGTTTGAATAAAAACCTATTAGGTTTGCCAATAATAGTGAACTTGCAAACTTTAAAAATCATTTTGTTTTGCCAGTATTCGGTTCTTTTATATATATTAATATTACCGTAGTATTGCACAAGCGAGGCTTTAAAATGTTTCACGGGGGTTTCGCTCCACAATAAAGGTTTAAAACCACTGAATCAGACTGTTTTACAGCTTTTTTTGCAATGCGCTGTAGTTTCATTAATATTATAAATAATTTTCGAACTATTTTACATTGAATTATTATTTTTTCGTGTGCATCAAGATATTTATATATGATTTTGTTGATATAATTTTTAATATATATGTGTGTGTGAAATATTGAACAGTCTCCTCTATGTATTTTGCTAGAATTGCGAACATCCTAAAAAATGAGCATATGCGTGGGAGAGGTGGAAAAACAATATACCGTGTTTCATAGACCTTGAAGCGCCCCTTAAATCACTTTGTATGTGTCAGAGCGCCTGATGTATGAATCAGATAGTGCTTTATTACTCACAGCCAGTACCGGTTGCGTATTATAGCCCGGCACCGCCTTTGTATGCACAAAACCCAAATCTAAGCATTTTATTGGCAATGTGCCGTATACCGTAAAATAAGGTATATCAATAGAACTAGTTCCAATCAAGAAAAATGTCAAACGTTTGCCGTTGCCGTTTGCCTTTGGAGTAGGTTAAAATCTTGTATTTCATGTTCACATTCCTGCCACGAAACAGACGGCTGTGATCAGATCTTGGATACAGTAAACAACACCAACCATAAAAGCAGAGTGAAATGAAAATTAAAAATGATTTTCGCAATATACTGGATAAATTCATATTTGGATAGACAAAAAATAGGAGTAAAAGTGTAATGCAAGACCTTTAAACCACTCAGTACTGTTGTTCTGACGCTTGTTACCAGGGATGGCCAATTCGAATAAAGTATTCGAATGTAGTCGAATATCTCGTCATTCGAATATCGGAATTAGCGTTCATAAGAATATCGGATATTTGTGTGACGTCCCACATTTTCGACGCCGCATTCAAGACGTTTCCGTTGAATGAAAACATTCTCGATAGAAACTTGCGCATGATTGTATTCATCACTCATCAGCGTAACATGTTATTTAGGCCCGTAAACGCCTTTACGTTTGTGTTATTTTCTCTAAAACGAAAATTTACCGCAAATTTGTTCCACGATGACGATTATTTTATTTTTGTACGCGCACGGAATTGTGAATCTGGTAAATACGCCCATCAGCGGCGAGTTTCTAAAGACAACGCAACTTTTTGATTGGAAAGCGGCAATTTAAAATACTGGAAATAATACTGTAAACAATATAAGTTTTATTGACGCCCGCGAAAATTTAAAAAACGCTTTTCTAGGCAGTGAAAGTCGCAAAATTTCGTGTGCCTGGCACACATTATGTTTAATATATATACGAAAAATATATATTCGTTGTTATATTATTTGTTGTAAAAGTCGTCTCTTTTAACAGGTGGCATAATCGCGGCGATGAATATGTATTTTTAATTTACTGTTAAACTTTATATGTATATTCATTGTATGAAATGAATTATACTCTACACTCACCAGGATTTTATATCATTATTTGAGATTTTTATAACGGCGATAACGAATTGGCAAGATTGCAAAAATACGTATTAAAATTAAATACATCAGGCAGTTTATCTCGTAATTTTAGGTCACAGATCGCCGTGGACCGAATCGTAATGTTTTTTTTTGACGTAAGAAGAAGCATCCGCGAGTTACAATGGACACATTAAACTAATATATAAAGATATTTTAGAATCTCGAAGTTGTCATGGATTGAAGATTTTACGTAACAGAATGATCATTATACGCTGAAAAGACGGCTCTTTTAACGAGCGCGGAATCGCGGTGAGTGTTACAGGCGGCAATGGTAATTTCCTATTTCGAAAATCCTGGCTGCGCGGCGGGCAGTGGTGGTCATCTATCCTCTGCTAATTTATTTCTAATTTCAAACACAACAATATGTTACACATAAATTAATATACAAATATACTGGTTAAATATTAGAATTTTTAAAGGCATAATGCATTTTCGATTGCTGTTGCCTGTATTGCCAATAAATTTTATTACCCTTAGAAAATATACACAATTATCTGAATACAAGTAGTATTTTTGTCAATAGACTTGGCTATTATCGTAATATCATGGTACTAATGATAGAAAGCTTCAGACAACTCCTTGGCTATCTTTTCATATGGTCATTTGTACAAAGTGAATAATTTTAATAAACTGACTGTGTCACAAGTTGCTATTATTTTTTATTAATAGCTATAAACTATCAATTATTTTGTGTACATATACTGTTGGTTTGTGCCTCTATTCTGATATTTCTATTGAAACTCATTTCCTAATTTACTGGGTTTTAATGAACTAAAACAAAAATGTGTTATTTTCGATTTTAGAATGTATTCGGAATTCCAGATTCGAAAACATTATTTTAGAATGTATTCGGAATAGTTTAGTATTCGGAAATGGCCATCCCTGCTTGTTACAGTGGCTCACAGTCAGTACATACAAATTCGGCAATACAAAAGCAGAGAGCAGAGAAAGGAGAAGAGGTTAAGAATACGTTGATCAACCACCAAAAATATTGGACACGTAGGTGGACCGAGATCTTTCAGGGGTACTCCCGAACTATGTAGACTAACATTCCGGAATGTAGTATGTGTACCAGGTTAGGACTAGGCCATACTTTTATTCAAATTTTCCTTATTTTAGTTCTATTACGAGTTCGGGCAATAGCCAAGTGACTACCGTAGTATTTCTACCTGTAATTATGGCTTTACCCGAACTTTGTACACATGCTACGTTTCGGTGTCCGCCATCTTGTTTCACGTACTTAGGAAGTACCTTTTTAGATAGTTTGCTGTTGTCGCTTTTATCCCTAACTACAGGACCAATTGCTTTGGCATTTTTAATAGTTGAAGATTGTTGTTGTCGCGAGAAGGCTATGACTTTTATTTATTATAAAAAAATTTATGAACTACGTTTTTTTTATGTAAGTTACGTCATCCGAATTAAAAATTGAGCACCGCCTTACCGAGGGCTCGTTTTCTATAATGAACTATTCTACGCGCATGATCTTGGTATAGCTTCCAATTTTCTCACTATTTTATTACGCGAGTTCGCGTAAAACGAGCGCTTCGATGGCGTAATTACGACAACTGCATGGTAATTGTCCGATGACTATATTTACCACGCATACTGGTTGTCTGTTTACAAATAAAGTTGATTCACTCTAGACAGATTTATCTTCGCTTCCTGAACTATGTGTCCGACAACTGCACGATGAACTGAGTTATCAATTATTACTTACCATTTATTCAGGGCAGGCAATGCATACAATACGGCCTAGAAATAAACATAGCCATAATTCACGGAAGCGTCAAGTCTTCAAATTTCAGAGAATGTTATCTCGAAAAACTAAACATGTAGTTTTATTCTACCTGTTTTACTACTATATAATTTCACCATTCGAGATACTCAGTATCCTAATGCAGCAGTATGACGGTATCAGTTGTGACCAGTTGCTTCAGCACTGATAAAAGCTGAGTATTAATATACTCATTGTACAGACACATAACTCACCTTAGGGATTTTCTGTTTAGATATTCAATCCAACCAATGCCATTAACCCACCAGTACTCCGGCTCATTTATCGCTGTTCTGTCCACTAGCCGAGCCAGTGGTTCCTAATCCCGCTCTACTCACCCCCTCAACGTTGGATATAATCTGTTGCCCCTCGCATCTTTAATTTTCTGAAAGTCTAGAAAGGGAATTGTTAAAACATTGACAGACTATTCTGCAAACTACACGCAAATTAATGGAAATATATCTCACCCTTTAGGTTCTCTAGGAACGTTTTGGACCCAACTGATGACACATTACCGGTACATTAGTACCTGCATTATTGTCTTGATCATCAGACTGCGTGACTAATTAGTGACAGATTTGATGTTTTGAATGGAAAGGTTCACTAGTACTCCAGCAACCAACCTAAATGTCGCGGCATTCACTAGAATTTACTAATCCAATAGATAATGAATGAGACAAATTATTTACATTTGAAGATTTCGTTCGAAGGAGCTTTTCAGTTCCAAGAAATGTCCTTGCTGTTACTAGCTTATTTATTGTTGTTCTGGTCACTGATACGCTAGAGCCTAACTAGACTATCGTCGACGTTATTGCTACATTGAATAAAAATATTTATTGGTATTCCAACAATTCATCAGAATGATGCAACACTCACTAACGCTACCTAGTCTAGCATCAAACCCACCCTCAACAAATAGAGTAATGCGCAAATATATGAAAACGAAAGGCAAATGCGTAACCGCAGTACAGTAGTAGACAATGCGACACACGTACACAAATCAGGCTGGCAACCCATTTAAATGTTTCCAATTAAAAGTATAAATTAAATCTTGTACAGTAGCAATCAAGGTCTGTGCGATACGTTGTGTGAGTACAGGGCTTGTTAGAATCTGACACACTAGTCTGAAAATGACTCGTTATGAAGGAACAAATATCTCACCTTTTTGTACTCTGGCTTCTCCTTCAAATGCTTTCAATTTTTCAGTACCGGTATCAAACAAGTCCAGCAATCAACGTAGATGCTAGGCATTTTTCTGAATGCAGTGCTTGTTAAAAATTGGCGGACTTGTGTTACGAACACGTTATGTAGAAACAAATAACTCACCTTTATGTTTTCTCGAAACGTTTTCAATTCAACGGACGTCATCACCAGTGAATAACTCTTGTATTGTTGTCGTGGCAATCAGACTGACAGGTAATCGCGGATTGTATGACCTAATAATGGAGGGTACGTTGTCCACTAGATCTAATGTCAGCAACCTTTTTCGTGCCGAGAGCAGGTTTACAACAAAAATTTTATTGCAGATCGACCTCAAAATAAACCTAATATCTTAATGAACTAAAATTTATTCAGTAATGAGATCACGACCCCTTATCTTACACGAAAACGATCTCTTACCTTGCATTTAATATTATTGTCTTTAAGTGATGGCGCTTTCATTTACCAAGATTATGTGTGCCAGACTGAAAGCAATTTTCTAGTCAATTCAATTCCTATCTGCACATAAGTCGAACACAATACCGCAATTCTTAACCTCATTTAAATTACAGTTTAAAATATGTTACGGAATTTAAGTAAAACCATTCCACGCGGTAAAAATTACAGATATCTATCAAGCTATATAAATCTGGGGATCGAGAAAACAACCCTAATTACGAAAGGGGTAATTTTGGGGCAGATAATAATTATTTTTTAATTCGAATTGGAATACCTAAACTTTGTTAATCGTTTATGTTAAAACAAAAATCCATTATTTACTCAAGCTACATTTAATTCAGAAAAATACGGCCCAGAAGGAACTCTTTACGCCGCAGCGGTTTTCTAGCGTTTTGTCCGTGTGGCGCCAATTTATCAGGGAAAAAACTCACGGCACACCACGAAACAAATTGCTACTTTTGAATAAAACATTTAATAATAAATAAGGAACAACAAAACATGTATAATAAAAACAATATGTAACATATTCAACCATATATATGTAAGTCATATTTGCCAGATTTCTGTTAATTTACGCGGCGCACTTAGCAAATTTTTGGGACGCACTAGTGAGCGCGGTGCACCCTTTGAAAACCGCCGCTCTGCGTGCTGGTACCAGTTATTGCAAGATCATCAAAGCGGCTTGTGTTGATACCAAGACTCGCTATACTGGTGCGCTACCGTACCATTTGAGAAACTGTCTTGCATAACGACCCCACTGCTGTGATTTATATTTGATACTTTTGATTTTATTCTGCATTTTGTTATTTCTGCTAACTGGCAATTGCGATCGTGCCTGCTGTGACGTAATGTGATTACTCAAATAATGGGTAGCGCGACAACTCTTAATTGTTGCGGCGCAATGCATCTCCTCTATTCGTCTGGCTTCCCAGTCGATATACAGTTGTGTTAACTTGTAGACGTTTGTTTATGATCGCTGTTTTGTTGTATTGTTTGAGAAACGGAGTTCAGTTATATACGAGTTTCTATTCTGAGCAGATAGCAATTAAGAAACGAAACACCTGCTGTGTTATACTTAGCTTACTTTTGTCTAAGTCATATATGTTGTTTCTTTTTATAAGGAGATTTGCTCAAAGCATGGTCACACGCGCACTCAGAACATAGGCAATTCATCTCAGAGCAAAGTTACGGACAACCACGAAAATGGCAAGAGCTACTGAGACTAACCAATTATAGTATGGAATCATGTGTAATAATGATTTTATTGAAACATGACAGCAACGCTTAATTACATAGACACGAAAGCCAAAACAAAGTAATACGGGTATGTAATCTGTCACAGTAGACTACCAGTACTGCGACTTCGCATGACGACTAAATTGCAAAGCACGATAACGCGGAACCGCTACAGGTGCGCAATTTTCATGACGTCACCGTACACAAAAAACGATTCCCATATAGGACACCAAGATTTTTTGAAATCATGAAAGCAATAGCCTTCTAGCGACAAATAAACCTTTAACCAATAAAATTTCCGAAGCAATTGGTCAGTAATTAGGAAAATCGATTTGTTCATAACAACCAGAACAAAAGATTGACGAAAAACAACAGCATAATAAGAAAACGACCCATCGGTCCAATAAAGCCTAGTGTCTGTAATATTCATGTATTTGACGAGGTGGTCAAGAACTAACTATAGGTCGCAACTCCCAGCTTTAATTATTTAAACAATCTCTTTTTTTATGTTCATTTCCTCGTTATTAGTATTTTTTTTTTGGAAAAAATCGCTTTGTCCATTATCTATTGGACCTATTGGTTTAAAATCTCCATTGGGTATCTAAAAAATTTGTGAAGAGAATAGTTAATGCTATTCACACAGAAAATGATAAATCTCAATTATATTTATTTCTTTTTCTCTTTTGGTAGACAGTAAAACGGTAAATAATAATCTAAAAGCATGCATAGTAAATATAGTCATATTACTTATAGGCAGGTGTGCAAAGATGTGCAATATAGCTTTGTAGAACAAATAGTTAATGCTATTTACGCGGAAACAGTTGAATCTAGATAAAAATTAATTTCTTTTATTCTTACATATAGAAAAACATACATATTAAAATGCATAGAATAAAATAAGCATATGATCAGATGTGTCAAGTTGTGTAATATGATGATAATAGTGTAATAATACTGATAAATCCTAAATTATTGAACAACACATCACGTAAGGCTTAATATTAGGACCTATTTTTAATACTATATGAATTTCCCACACTCTGTCCGATCTCAAAGCGACTGCTTTTTTGAGTATAATTCAAGTGTGGATTAGTGAAGCATCTCAAAGGAATATTGTTTTGTAACGTTGTGGCTCCTGGTATATTTTTAACCAACTAAATTATTGACACATCTCGTTTAGAAACTTACAGATTTCTTGTTAACTTCTTGTTAATTTCAGAGAAATATACAATAACGCGTACCAATCTCGTTGACTGACTGTCTTTCATAAGCTCATTTTAACGTGTCAAATCTTGGTAGGGGCAGAGGGGGGATTAAATACAAAATGATTGCTTGACTATAATGGTATTTGTGTAAAACTAGAGCTAATCGAGAGCATGGGATTCAACGAATTATTAAACCTTTGTATAGGATTTCTTTTCTTTTAGGATAATCCTAATAAGTTCCTCCTTCGGAAAAAGGGGGGTTATCCTTTTACCCAAAAAAGTACCCTCCTCGAAAGCCTGGTTTAAATAAAAGATGTAAAACACTGCATATCATATTTACCAATAAAAAATATCAGAAAAAGTACAGTAAACAATAGCAAACGATAAAATAACAATAACTTGGGTTTGTTTTAAAAGGTGAAAAATTTTGCTAATTCCAGAAACCTTCGAAGGTCACCATTTAATGTTTCACTATACAAAGAAATTTTAAAATAAAGAACTATAGTTTTGTAGTTAAAATGTTAAGATAAGTTGTAAAACCGCATGTTTTATTGGTATATTCATATGTTTCAATGTTATATTCACGAAGTATAGAAAAAAGTTAATGATATATTTATTTATAAACTGCTTAAATAAACGTTTTAGAATATGTTCTTCTGCAAAGAATAGATGTTTATTCAAACGCTCTTAATAGTTTAAACTACCAAAAACTAAATAAGGCAAGCACTTTTCTAAATTCATAAGCAAAAACTGGCGTAGAAAAATATTCGATTATATGTTAATGGCGAGATAAAGTGGAAATCCAACAAACCCAAATTCCTATGAAAAATTCTGACGGAAATTTTTTTTTTTTATTATTTTTATGGAATATTGAGGCCTTTAGTCGATTGCAGGCGTCCATGAGCAAAACTTGTTGTGGATAAATATTCGACTTTATGATAATGGCAGATAAAATTAAAATTCCACAAACACGAATTCTCTATTGAAAATTCTGACAAAATGGTATTTTGTTTAATTTTTTATATGGGGAATTGGGGCCGTCTACTGATTAATGGTGATTTCGCTTTTGGGAATTTTTCTGATTTTTTGTGTTGAGACGAGATGAAATGGAAATCCCCTAAACATAAATTCCCTATGAAATAATCTGACGAATAGTTTTTTTAATATTTATTTCTGGCGGATTGGGGCCGTCTGTTGATTGAAGGTAATTTTAATCTTTTAGATTTTTTCCGATTTTTTCTGTCTCAAATCGACTTTCCGAGGAAATCAAATAAATCAAGAAAGATGAAGTTGAAAATAAAATTCTTTTATTTGTTTCCCGGCTGGTGATTTTCATAAATAGCCTCTTCCTGTTGTTTGGATTGAGCTGTGTTCTCGTACGCATTCTCTTCAACGGCGCTTTCTTTATAGTCATTGTTGAACCAGTGCTTCAGAGCTTTGTAGCAAAAACGGTATTCCTCCTGTAGAATTCAGTATACAACTTTCAACAAAAATTTCATTAAGACCATACTCAGCAAGCCAAATATACACAATAAAAATGAGATGTTAATTGTAAGACACGAAATGTCCAACGCTTCTCTCATTAATTACTGAATTAGTTGTTTTAAAATTTTCACTGGTTAGATTGTATTTTTTGTTATTTTTATTTATTTCAAAAACTTTTTGGGGCTCTATGTGATTTGTTTTTTACTTTCCATCAGTTCCAGAATCAGCGTCGTATAACGGTGTAACACGTAGCTCGTTATATATAGATGTAAAGATTGATAGTGAAATGCAATTTATTTACACTTACGCTTTTAGCTAATCAGTCGCATAATCAAAATTTTTGATATGTTAGATAGCTCAAACTGAAACTTACCAGTTTTTGAATCATGCCTGCCCTACAATCTCTCAAATCTTTTACAACTCTGAAAACATCGGCTTTCTCTTCAACTTTTAGGCGGGAAATCAGATTCAGTATTGCGCAAAACGCTCCTGTCTTTCCGAGGCCATCCCTGGAATAATGTGAACTTGATTTTAAGAGTGGGAAATATTTAGCATTATTTGCCAATTAAAAAATACATTTGTCAATTAAGATTAAGTCATTGTAGATTCGAGTCTGGTCTGGACTGAGAAATAGCGACACAAACTGACTGGTCTTCCAAGCGGTGTTGAGGAGGGAGGAGGTGAAAAGTAATAAAAAGCATCTTTCTGTAGCATGCATAGCAATATTTCGTAGCTTGAAACGCTTTTTGGACCCTCAGGACTTCAGGACTTCGTTTACCGGATCTGCTAACTATTATGGTCAAAATTGGCAACTCGAAATTTTAAAAACTTTCACCCACCCCCCCCTCTTTGAAAATTTCTGGCTACGCCCCTGTTGAGGATGCTCGAGTAATTGACTCGTTGAGTAAGATTTTAGTCCCCATTAATGAAAATGACTCAAGTCATCAAAATGATATGACCCGAACTCGTCATCAACTGAACGCTTGCGACTCGAGAAAATGACTCGCCTCGACGCTCGGGGTTTATGTACTATGTACTGCTTAACACTGTCATCATATTCCCATTTATTAGTTTGACAATGACAAGAGTAGATATTCTATATTTTTCTATATTGAAAGCATGAGGCCACGAAATGTTAAGAGTTATTAAAGAGAACCACGGAGCATAAAAATTTGAGTACCACTGACAAGTCATCAGTATTTATTGTAATTTAGTCTCGATCATTAAAAATCAAGTGACCGCAAACGGACACAAGTCTTATTTTACCTGCAGTGCACCAGTATTGTTGATAAATCTCGTCTTTCTGCTTTTGTTTGTATCTTGTGTATGACCTCAACAAAAGCTGTTACGTCTTTAGGGCATGCAGTAGGATTCAACCCGGGAATGTGAAATTGAGTAATGCTCTGAAAAATGACTTAAGCTTAGGTTTCTTTTTCGTTTATCTTAAGATTAAAAAATATTGCCAGTGTGGTTGGTTTTTGGGTTTGTTATCCAGGTAAATTCAAAAGACAAACGTTAGTTGGAAGAATCGCGCATGAGTGGTTGATATTTACGCCAAAAAAGAATTTACGAAGGAATTTGGCTCGATAGAATTTAAAAATTCAGAAGAGATTTTTTATTATATTATAAAAAATACAAAGCACTTTGCAAACAGCATTTTGTGCTAAACCTAAGAAATAACAATATTATAATTGAACGTGACTACCATGATTAATGAAATAACACCACTCGCGATTTAATAAATTTGAAAAGCAAAATCAAAAAGATATTGATTAAAACAAAGAAGCTGAAACCACCATTTTTCAATTGAATGATTTGTAATATCAGCTAAGTAGGGAAAGAATATTGGGATCTTTTGTACAAAGCCCTCGCCACTAATGCAAAAATGTTAGATTTTAGAGAAACGACCTCGCCACGTTTTTAAAATAACAAATTAGTAATTATCAAGTTAGAGTTAGGAACGATTTAAGAACTTAAATTTTCAGCGCAATCTTGGCATTTTTAACCCAAACCCTAACTGGAATATTACTAGATAATTATTCCTATTTACGAGCGTTGGCGAGGGTTTTGTACAAAAGATCCAAATATTGCAACATTTGAGACCATTGAAATAACAAGTTTCATTATTGACCAAATTGTGCAAAATTGAATTGTGTGAAAGTGTTTTATATGTTAAGCAACTCTTGGCATTCAGTGATCACAAGTGGTGATATTTCAAAAGAGTTACTGTCATTTTTGAAAGAATACAAATTAAATATGAAAAATTTTGCTAAACCCTTGTTGTTGAGAAAAAAACACCTAATTAATCAATTAATTTTGAAATTTTCAGTATATAAAGATTGAAAAAGTTGCTAGAATGCTATGGCTTTCATATTTCTTAAATGTCATACGAGCCGATATTTTATTCAAATTTTTCCTCAGTTCTTGGGATCACGGTTTATGTGATTTATGTAAATATTTATTAAAATGTATGTAGTTTCGAAGATACTTTTGCAAAGATCTGTGGCCTAATTTATGGTACGAAAAGTAACGTACCTTCTTCTTCCCATCACGAGCCATCAAAAAATGTCTTTCCACGTATTGAGCATTTGGAGATGATTTCAATAGTTGAACCAAACCTCTTCCGGCTCGACATGGCTCGCCTTCATTTATCGGCCAGTATTGTGTTTCGCGTCTCTGAAAAAACAAAATTACTGCGTCATTTATGATGTAACCGGTGCGATAGCTTAGGGCATAGGTTCTCAAAGTGCTCCGTACGGAGCCCCAGGGCTCCGTGAAAGAAACCCAGGGGCTCCGCAAGCTATTCGACTACTTTTTAAAATACTGAATTGACTAATTTTACTATTAGGATTACTGAAATGAAAGACTACTATTCTGAAATAACATAAAATACGCGAATAACTGCCAACTATACATAAATTGAAGTCGTATTTTTGCGATCTTGGGATTTGTCAAGCTTGGTTTTGTTCTTTCGCACTCACGAGCAAGATGTCGCCGTTTACAAAACAAGAGGTCGGGGCAAAATACGAAAGATGGAAATTTATTTCATTGCATGCGGCTCCGTCGGTAGTTTCAGAATGGAAAAATAGGTACATCGCGCGCACAATTGACTGTGTTTCGGTTTCGCAGTTACTACGACGAATAACCAAAGAAAACCCAACATAACACCAAATTTTTGATTCACAATGTCTATGAACGTGTTTTTAATCTGACGTGAGTCTGCTGAAACAAAACTTATGGTGTTATCTCCCATTTTAAGTTTTAGTTTTAATATTTCAGTATGCCGCTTTTCAATCGAGAAATTTGAGTTGCGGATTTACCTTTTATTATTTATTATTTTTAGCATTTCGTCTCCGGTGACTATAATATGGTAACATGTTTTTCACATTGAACTCATAATTCCCCACGAGAACAAAAAAGCAATACTCGTCGTCATTGTGGAACAATACATCATACATGTATATGTCGAGGAAAATTTTTGATTTAGGGAGAATAAACACCGCCATGCTGACGAAAACAATCGGCGATCGTAACAAAATGCAATCGAGTACGTTATTAGCGGCCTTTTGAGTCTTTCAAAAATATCTAAAGGTAAAAGATCCGACCCCTAATTTATTAATATGTTTGTATCAAGTATCAAGTTTACAGCTTTAGTATATATAATTCATCTTTTACATTTAGATTCATTTATGACTTGTATTAACCCTATTAAAAGAGGTTAAGCATTTAAAATAAGTACATTACTTTTGACTTACTCAGAAATATTATTCGGAAAGTAACAATTTTAACATTTATTTTGGGGCTCCGTGAATAATAGTCAACTTTTTCAAGGGCTCCGCAACACAAAAAGTTTGAGAACCCCTGGCTTAGGGGTTACAGCAGGGATGGCTGAGATTTTTGTGCCATGAGCCAAAAATTTTGCCCACCTGAATGACGTGCCTAGTAAGTGTGATCTGGAAAGTTACATTTTATGAACAATATTTACAGTGTTACAAAAAAAGTTGAAAACAATAATCGCAATCTTAACAAATTCCGTAAGTTATTTTTTTAGCTAAAACATTAAAATTTGGTTTTAGTTCTGTTGTGGCAGCATCTGGCGGGTCAGATTGAATTGCCCAATGGGGCCAAATTTGACCCGCGGACTGTAGTGTGCCCATGTCAGTGTTTCAGAGTCAAACTTAGTTGTGCAGATTACACATCTGGGGGTCAAATCTAATTCACCCACCAATAAATTGGGTATGTAATGCCGTGTCAGAAATATTCCAGGTGTTAGATGTCTAATATAATCTTTCATATACGGGTGAAAATACCTCAAAAACTACAAAACATCAATAATAAACAAGCCTCTTCAATTTGAATAAAACATTATACTCTAGCAACAGTCATGCAAAACTCCCGATTCCAGACTCCAAACCCTCCTCAGAGATTATATTCTCGATTCCATAAAATTTAAATATATAACAACGTGGGACAACTGTCCAAAAATGGGGTGGAGGGTGAGACACGACGTTTTCGATATACTGCAATTTTACCAACGAGTATGAAGATGTACTATACTCTTGATATGCTTAGTTTCAATTCTCTCGTTTTCCCCCTTTTTTATAAAAACTTGGTTTTGTCTCACATTTTGATCATCCAGCATTACTATGGTTGTGACATCATTATCAAAAATTGCTCTCCAGAAATTATCGTCATTTGATAAAACGGGTCCTTCACAAGCAATCATGCGAATAGATTCATTGTATGCCTGTAAAAGAAGACCATTGCTGTAGCGAATGGATATACATAGATATTTTTCATAGTTCGCCCACCCACAATCTAGCAGCTCGTTTAATCAAAAGGGAAGAATATGTAAATAGATATAATATATAAATATGTATTGAATGCTAATAAATTATGGGGTGTACTAGGGTATTGTGTACTGAACTGCAAGTTCTTTCTCCTTGTTTACTTTTGACTAACACTATTCTACGGATCGTAAGGCGTTCGGGATTATAAAGCGAACCATAAATAAATTGCTTATATTTGAGGTGCATCGGTTTATAAGACCCAACAAGATAAGCAATAAAGCATAAAGCACTACCTAACTCATACATTAGACGCATCTACTTATAAGGCGCACGATCGATTTTTGAAACAATAAAGCATTTAAGCCTTATGGTCCGTAAAATACGGTTAAATCTGGGGGTTATCGCTGTTTGTAGTCTTGCTGCTGTATCAGTTTTGCGTCGGGGATTTCAACAATATTACCTCAAACCGTTTTCGAAATTATTCAAACTTTTTTTTTCTGAAATTTTGGATATTTAATTAATAATTACGTTTTATTAAAATTTTCGGTTGACGTAAAATAACTATTTTAACAAAACCATGAGTTTGCCAAGCACTTATCAACGAAAGATCATATACTTTGAAACTGAAGATTTTGTTTTGAATACATACCTACATTTATGTTCAAAATATCAGCATTACACTAGGAAACTGTATATTTTAACATTTCATTTTACCTCAATATGATTTGCATTTATACTAGTTTTCTCTTCCTCATCTTCTGGTTGCCATTTGATGACAACTTTATACTTTTCAGCTGAAATGATAATGATCCAATATTTAAAAGCCCAATATTCCACACTTTTCCAAAGTACTAAGAAAATCGTGAATGGCCGACATCTCATATATTTACAATATCCTTAACTATTTTCTCTTCAAATTCAGACCAAATAAGAAACAAATCAAACGTTTTTTACTGAGTTGAGACACACATTTTTTTAATATGAAAAATAGAAATGCGATTTATTCAATGTCTGTATCGATGAGAAACTTGGTGTTGAATATTTTCCAGAAATCCCTTGCTTATTACTTATTTTTAATTTCCCAAAAATCAGGTATCGGTTTACAATGTTGATTGATAGCAGCATTATGAGGTTGGTCAATTTGTGACAAATTTAATACCACAGCTCACGACTGGGCCTTCAAAAGGGTATATTTGTGAAAGACATAAGCATAGTATATGTTATAGAAAATCCACAGTCCAATATTCTTACAAACGCATATTCAATAATGCATCCATGCTAACCATATTCAAAATTGGTCAATGATACCTACCATTCTTTGCGCTGATTTTGCTGATGCTTGATGCAATTTTAACGTTTTCAAATTCCTGCATGATCTTCGATGTTCCATTAGCACTCCTGCAATAGAGTATAATCAAAATTGATTTTAATGCGTATAAATACGAGATCTCACGTATCATTGGAAAGACCACACTTGATAAATTTTTCTTTTATTGGACACGTTAGTGGACCTATGGATCGTTTTGAAATTTTTGTTGTTGTTGTTTATGTTTTGAAAAAGTCGCTTTTCTCTTTGATCACTGGGCCAATTGCTTTGAAATTTTCAGTGGTTGAAGATTAATTTTTTTTTTCAGAAGGCTATCACTTTTATTTCTTTCTAAATTTCGTATGAAATCTGATATTTTGTCCAAATTTCGCAGTATTATTTAATCCATGGAAATACTGGCTGTTTGGTTTGATTCTGTAAATTCCTGCTACGCGAAAATTTTTTTGAGGGTACCGGTAGCGTCAAAGGTAAAGACTGCTTCGCTCTAGTTAACGTGTCCATATATTTAAGCATTGCTCTCTTGGTGTCATAAAAGAAGCTGCTTCAGTGAAAGTGCAATATATTGAATATGTCGCGTATATTGCGTATTAGCTTTTGCGTTAACGTGGCCCCATATTTGTCTGATAAAAAATAAAATTTCGAGAACATGAATTGGTTGAAAGACATAGCTCTTATTCACACCAATGTCAAAAACGAGGGTAAACACACACTTTTTGTCTTCTTGAATTTTTGCTTTGATTCCGAATTCATCTGAATCTGTATCTTTGAACAAATGATATTCCAAGAGAAACTTATGCAGAAGTTTGTATTGGTCCTGTAATAAGAAAATGGTTAACTAAAAGACTTCAATTTGAATTTGTGGAATTTTATTTACAATATTGGATTTTTGTAAGCTGTGACGAATTTTTGCACACGTACGGCATTCAAGATATGTGTAACCTTGGAGAGATGGCAACTCAATGTAATTCTACTCTAAAATTCATTGGCACTTCAGTGGTCACCCCGTAATTTTGCTAATCAATCTTTTTTACTGCTGAGGAGTGCGTGTGACCTTGCTTGAGCTAATTTTCTTATAGCAAAAAAAAACGCAACGATTTTGCTTAAAAAGGTTTTCCGTACGGTAAACATTTGAAGCACAGAGTTATAAAATAAATGGAAATCGATGGTACATTCATTATAGGCTAAGAATTTGAACGAAGAATTAGAGTAAGCATAGGTAGTGGAAATCATAGATAACCCATTGCGTCGTGTAAAAGTTTTTCGATCACGAAACAAAAAAATACTTCAAGTAATTTGCACTTCCGTATGTCAAATCAAAATGATCACTCACGCTTGTCTGAACCATGTCCAATCTCTGTTGTCTCATTTTGATAACGCATTGATAGATGTCTACATGGTTTGTGCGAGCAGCTTCCTCGATCAAGTTGTCATAACCAATGAACGCTCCTGTTCGACCGGCGCCAGCACTAAAACAAGAGCGCAATATTCAAATATATGGACGAAGATCGCGCATCGGTACCGGTATGGAGACATCAGCTGAGCACCAAGTTTGATGAAAATATCTGCAGACATGCGTAACGAAGGTGGTCAAGAAGTGCGGAATAACAGTGTTTTTTTTATAATTAAAGTCAAACATCGAAACTTCTGTTGAAATATCGAATTCCATAGGTTCCAGACGAAATTTATAGTAAAAAAGCGATTTCTTTTTTCTTGTAATGAAAATCCAAACTAGATTGATTCTTTCCAACAACAAAAAAACACTATCAACAAGAATGTAACAAATCGATCCATAATCATACATCTTCTACAATAAAATTTAGTTTAAAATTACTTGATAACCTTATTTTGCAGTGCCGATCAAAGTGGTAGCGCAGACAAAAGATTGTTTTCATGTATAGCAGTATTAGTAGACCTACAGTCATAATTTTTTTTTTTATATTAGATCATTTTTGAGGTTAAGACACCACAGTGCTATTTGACGTACGACAGCTACAAGCAACCGATTTTACCTGCAATGCACAATAATAGGGTAATCTTCGTTACCATGGCTTCCCATACAACCTTCATAGAATCGATAAAAGCTAGAAGTTGTAATAGGAACTCCATGATCGGGCCAATTCAGGAAATGATATTGTTCGACTTGATAGGCAGGCTGTGATTGAAGAGGTTAGAGAATAATAAAGCATTCAGATTCGCTGGGTCTGATGAAGTAAACGTCGTAACTGCCTAAATAACAACCCGTTCAATACTCATGAAAAGGCAAGCAACAGTTTTCAGCTGGTTGTGAGTGCTAGAAGACTTCAAATAGTTCTCAGGCAATTAAAAATTGGAAGCCACATAAACATTTCTAAACCTTAGATCACGATACTAGCATTGCATTAATACATCGTAACGTCATTGTTGCAACATACCGTGAAATCAATTAATTCGGAGAAATTGACAAAATACCAATAAATTTTACCAAACCCATATCTACCAAGTGCACCCCGTCTAATCAGGACTTGAAATTTCATCAACCTAACTACTCCCTGACCATATATTGCTTACCGAATCGCCATGAGATATCTTAAAAACTCGTATGTTGTATCCCCCATAACTTCTGTCGTCGTCACAAGATACTTTAATGCTTCCATATTTTTGTGTCTTGCCCAAGTCAGGCCAATATTTTTCACATTTTCGCTGAAAATACATTAAAGTTTGATCCCAATTTCTTAGTATTGATGAATTATTTTGTGTTTACTTTTAAACAAGGTGTACCTAGCCATTCAATACGCTCCTAGAACAGGAAGTTAATTATGACTAAAAAGTTAGTAGAGACGTACTCATGAGTAATGCGTGATAGTCAATGTTTAGTTATAGTTTATCACGTGTATTAAAGCAAGCAGTGTGATTGCGATGGTCTAGGGCAGGGCAACTCAACTGGCGTTCCGAATACGGAACCTTGAATTATTCAATTTGGACCTGATCTGGTTTTTGTATTGAAATAAATAGCACTATTTACTCTAATTGAACCCGGTACTAAAAAGCGACCTTGTGCGTTGCTTTTGTATTTTGTTAAATGATGCATTTGAATATTCGTTTGTATAATAGAATTTATTTTCTGGAATGACAGGACCCCAGATATTTTCGAGTTTGGTATGCAGATCTTTGGTAAAAATAGTTGAGTAGCCCTGGTCTGGGGGTTAGAACGTGAAACTTACCATGATGTAGTCGCGGGATAAATATTTTGTTCCAACCCTATGCTCCTCCACGTTCTAGTAAATCAGGTAGATAATAGGGAATTTTTTTTAAAATAGTAGCTGCTCAGGTATCGTTGTGTGATTGTCCAGTCTTATTCAAACAGTGCATGCATGAAAACGCTTCATAAAAAAACTACTAACCACGCCCAGAATGCAATTTTGTAAGTTTTGGCATTATATCAGACATCGCAATTTATTGTTGTTACAAACCTTTTGTGCCTCAAAACATTTTGTCAACATTATAATAACTTTGGATTTCTGTTCAACAATCATTCTCCAGAAATCATTCACTGTCGAAGACAGAGGTCCTTGAGTTGCAATGAACTTCTTGGATTTGCTGTAGCCCTGAATATTTATTTTTTTCAAAACAAATGTAAATGATCTGCTACAGTATAAAATATATCATGGGTTACAAGGAGATTTAGAGAATGTGCCAGTGTGCCACTGAAGATATAACAATTCTAGCAAGCTCTTATGACAAGCCCGAAAATTTTTAGTTGTTCCAAATTTCAGATATCTCAATAAAAATGGTGGCGTTTAATATCACTACGATCAGTGTTCCCTCTAAGGTGTGCGCGTGTGCGCGCGCACACAGCTTTCAGAGGCTGCGCACACGCATAGATTTACTGCGCACAGACGTATTTCGATGTAATGCAACAATGTTCTCGGTTGGCAGGTTGAGAAAGTTTGTTGTTGGCCCACCTATTACCCGGTTGAAACGCCAAAATTTCTTCATTGGTTTTTGCACAAATATTAGTCATTCCCCAAAAAGTGCGCACACACCAAAATTTCTGCGCACACATTCGACAAAAACTTAGAGGGAACATTGACTACGATCAATGTTTAATGGCAATTTGAGAGCAGTTCATTTTCAATACAAAGAACCAAATAATGAAAGTTTGACGGCTTCAAATACATTTGCAAATTTAATTGACAAATTGGTGTAATCGTTTAATGAAACAAGAGAGCTATGCTCAAATATATGGACACGTAGCGCCCCCTAAGGGCAATAATTCTGATGACGTCATTGCAGAAAAAAAAAGTAATAGCCTTCTGAAGAAAATTTTTATCTTCAACCACTGAAAATTTCAAAGCAATTGGTCCAGTAATCAAAGAGAAAAGCGACTTTTTAAAAACGTGTCAAAGAACAAGAACAACAACAACAACATAATATTGAAACGATCGCTATGTCCACTACGTGTCCAAAAATGCGACAAAATGAATTCGGAAACATATGATGTAGCAAATTTCGTAAATAATTTCGAATAATCATTCGGAGTAAAATTGAACTAATATGATTATACAAAATACTTTTTTTTATATTTACCGATTTTTGTAATATAAACGTACTCACATGGACGTAACAAGCGTTAATGTATGATTCGTCGTCTTCTCCTTTGAGGTGGACTCTTGATAAATCGACTGAAAGATTATTCGATACGATTACGTATTATTAAGATTTTCTGTTTACACGGTTACTTGTTCATACCAATAAGTTGTTTTTCTGTACATCAAAATAATAAAAAGCCGAGCGCGTAAAAATTGGATTCAGTGACATGCAAGTTGATATTGATTGGATTGATTAATTTACAAAAGTGGTTTTTAAACGGTGGGGCGCGCCCAACAAGGTGGGCATAGACATTTTTCGTGGGGTATACAAGCTAATTAAATATAAAATTATTCGTTAGGTTTGATCTCTGCGGATTAACATTTCTTTATTTTGAATATTTAGAGATTGCGATTCCATCCAAGTATTTTCAATGTCGTTTACATACGTTCGCCTTACTATCTGTTATTTGTAACTTATTGTTAGCTACTTATTTTTGACGTGGGGCGCGAGAACTGATAAATTCTAAAAAAGGGGCGCGGCTTAAAAAGTTTGAGATCCACTGCTTTAAAATATCAAATTGTTGTGATTTCTCAGGTGTTTTTATTATTGTTGTAGTATTTGATCATATTTTGTGAATTACCAACCAAAACCAGGATCTATGTTGATACGCTTTTCATAAAATGGTTTCGATTAGACATATCTTGTCACAGATCAGTATCTCTTATTTTTGAGTGAGTGTGTGATCTAGCTTTGAGCAAATGTTCATAAAAAAATCTAGGTATACCTCGGATAATATTTTTGACTTTGCGTCTCATTATTTACTTTTTCTGTATCCTGGAGCCCGACTGTGAAACCACAATCAAATTTTCCAAGTTTTTCGGGTCGGAAATATCAAATTATCAAACTTATGTTTTTATTACTTTGAAATCTCCGATAACATTTTATTTGTTACCGACAAGATTTTTTCAGATGACCATTGAGCGCAGATTTCAAACACTTACATGGTAATATATTCTTGTATCGGTTTTTCTTTTTCAAACTTTCCTTCGAAGCGAGTTTAGTGGTAAACGTTGTCACCGCTTCCTGTTTCATTTTCTGTGCAAGACGAGAGAAAAATTGCATTAAGAGCAGAAATCAATTAAAGTAGTATGTATTCAACCAGGCTTTAGAAAATTTAATTAAAAAAAAATGTTCCCGGTTAGTCGGTACGGCGGTTGGCGCATTGTGACAAGCGCTAGGCAATGCTTTTATTGAACCTCTGGTTACCTTGCGCGGGTTCGCAGGCTCGAACGCATCTGACAAAATAGCAGGTTGGTTTACTATTCCGCAATCCGACTTAAACTGGTAATCGGCCAATTGATCGTGGTTTGCAGTATTGTTAAGACGACTTATCGGTTCTCTTTCCACGGGGGATAAAAATGGAAATTCTAATTTATTCTTTTCAACACTCTTGGCTGTATAGCGTTTTAAGCTAAAATGTGACATATTTACTAATATTTTTTCCTATCCACGATTGCAAAATCAAATATGATTTGAGAACTGGTTAGTCCATTTTTAACCCAAGGATGCCCAGAAATCCTTGAACGCGCAGATTCGGATAACTTTGTCTTTCTTTGAATTCAGAAAATATCACCTCAAAAAGAAAAGAAAGAACTTTGTTACGAACTAGGGTATAAAATACGTCACAAGTCTTGTATAATAATACAGTGCATACTATTATAAGCTTTACCGTGAACTCGTTGAAAAACTTCGTTCCGTTATTTGCATTTTGATCTTCAAACACAGAGAATAAATCTTTCAGTGCAATCAAAGTTGTTGAACGTGATTCGTCAACTTTAGCCCCGACATTTGCATAAACATCTCCTGAAATGTATTTTATCGGCTTACTGGGTTGTATTGGTATTTGACTGGCTTGGAAGTAGCTTCTGTATTGCAATTCCCTAATCATCAACGAACCATAGCTTCAACTACTTTCCATAAATTAAAACGAATTGCACTTGCTCTCGTTCAACGCCAAAAAGTTGGCAAAGCGCGTTAGCAAATCTTCAGAAAATGGAATGAAAATAAAGGCAATAGACTACAGACCTTTGAAAAAAAACGTTAGTTCTCAACCACCGAAAATTTGAAGTAGCAATTTTTTTCCAACATCGAAATAAATTAGGCAGATTATTTAATCAATCAATCAGGTATATTCAATTTCTGAAAAGTCTCAATATCCCACTATATGTATTGACATAATTGACTGATATAGCAGTAAAAAATAGGGAATTTTATAAATTGAGATCAGTAGTCTAGTCTAGTCTTCTATCTATATTCCAGAATAAGATAGCTATAATATTACCTTCGTCTTCTCTAGTTGATAACGACGGAGCCCGAATTACTGCGGTGTTGGTCTCCTTGGTATACGTCACATCATCATATTTCTCACCCCGTCTGTAGAATAACAATAACATGTCAGCATGTCCCATTTGCATATTTTTTGAAAAATTGAGAAATTAAAAGTTTCCTACATTTAAGTAAACATGCAACCTATTTTGTATGCAATTTTGAATATATTTAATATAATTTTTTTTTCATAGCTCATTTGCTTCTACATATGGAACACACATGCACATTTGAAAAACTGCTATAAACTTTTTATAGCGTTTTTTATTGTTACAACTGTATTGCCGTGAATGTTACCATCAATTATTTTGAATGAAAACTCACATGAGTTTTAAAATGCAAAACTCTTAAAAATGGTGCTCTGCAAATAACATGTAAAATCAGTTTCAAATATAAATCTAGTGGTCTAACATCAAGAAAAAATTCTCATTCAAGATGCAAATAAAAATACCCATTGCTTGAATGATGAATCGAAAAAATATGATCACAAAAATATATTTTATATTTCTATATACCTAGTGATAGAAGCTTGTCAAAAATCTTATAAAAAAAATAAATAAATCGTGAAACACACCTCAGATAAATAAATCAACTACATTTCATATCGGGTTTTGTCTCAAGTTATTTCACCACAAGTTTTCATTTTTTACTGTCGTACTTTCAGATCATATATATATATATATATATGGACTAGAATTCAAATTACCTTTTCCGTAAGCAAACGACAATTATAATGATCAGAATCAATAACACTAGAGCAATAACAACTCCGACTATCCATATCATGCTGTTACCTGAAAATAAGTTGTCAGTTTAGCGATTATAAACCTTTACCACGTTTAACGATTATGGAGCGCCAATTAAGATTAATATTGTAAGAGATCCGAGAGTCTTACTGCACTCTACCAAAATGTATGTCTGTAACACTTCGTATATTGTTTGTCAGACTTTTCCAGGAAATCTTATTTCAATTACATAGTTTACTACAGAAATACTGTTGAATCACGAATAACAATTTGATAAAGAAACTATTTCTGGTAAATACTTTGCGCTCGCAGTAGGGTAATGCACATTTTCGTTATAGACTGGAATCAAATCGATCAGTGATAGAATATTCTGATCACTAGATGGTTTATTTAACAACTGGTGAGTTACTGGTACTTCCACAGGTAACGCCATTATCCCAGGAACCATTGAACGGTGTTTCACACTGAGATATAAGGATGCCCAAAAAGCCTCTTTATAATTTGAAAAATGTATCTGTGCACCTTGCACCCATTTTTCTGCATTGATAACGAAATACAAAATACTGATTGACAGATTACCTTCAGCCTTCTTGTGTTCAAAAGATACTGATGAACTTTGTTTTAGCCAAACCTTTGTTCCATTTGTTGTTGAGGTAACTGCATAGTAGCTGTAATTGAACATCTTCGTGTTACAGTGAAAACAGAGCTAGAAAGAGCTAACGGCATACAAAACGTTTTCACTGTGTTTCATGTTAACTGTTCAAATGAGGTTTTGTTAACTGGATACATTCAACAAGAAATGCTCGAATATATATATATGAACGCATGAATTGGATGACCCCCTCAATGTCGACAAAAGTTGCCGAATGTATAAAGAATTGTAACAATGGTAGTATGAAGGTATGTACTAGATGTTATTCAACGGTGTATGCTAAATAGAAAAAAGAGCAAAATATTAAGTAAAACACATGAAAGTAAATGAAAATAGCAATCTTATAACTTCTTCGGCCTTTGAGGGCTGAAAATTTGATCGATTACTTAAACATAATAATATATAGAATCGATAAATTCCCTATGCAATTTAACAAAATTTTAGGACTTTATGGACATCCTTCATTCTTTCACTTCGTGTCCAATAAATTAATAGAAACAACCAAAAATGTCATTCACAATACCACAACACTAAATGATATAAAGATATTCCAAAAATTGGCATTAAAATTTGGGACAAAATAACCGATTTAGAAGCTATTAGGACATATGGAAATAGTAATGTTATTCTTAGAAACGACTCTTTAACCTTGACGTACTATAATGTGAAGTGTGATTAGGCCAAGAGTACCAATAGAGAATATCGTTTCCTGTTTTAATTAGACTATTATTGCTTCCGGTATTGCTTTGATAATGATTTCACAAGTAAGTAATGAGGATGGAGCAAAGGTGGGCAAGGTTTTTGGACCAGGGGCCAAATTTGGTTTCAGTTGGGTTGTGGCAGCATCAGGGGTGCCAGATTGTTTTACCCAATGGGCCAGATTTGGCCCCAAAGGCTGTAGTTTGCCCATTTCGACCAAAATATAGCTCGCCTGGAACTTCTATTGGGTCGCTTGCTTTTTTTTTTTACAAAAAATTGATTTTATTCTCTAGTAAATTTTGTTGTTTATTTTGTAATTGACGTTAAAGTGGTGCTCAATAGCATATTATTGGTTGTATCACAGCGTAACATTGGGAAGCATCTATTTTGCCTGAGTTTGAAGTAATTTCTGGTAAAACTAATGCTATTTAAAAATTATCATTTTGTTTTAGTAATTTATTTTTAGGCCATAAAAGCACCGCGTTTAGTATTTGAGTATATCCTTCGGTCTCAGGTTTTCACGAAATTTATTTTTCCAAAATTTAAGTCGCTTGAAGAAAAGGTTGGGAACCACTGCTATGGAGTATGGATACTGAACATACGAAAAAATTTGAAACTTCTTGCCAATACACCAATACTATTACAACAGAGTACTTTTTTCTAAAAATAACATTTTTATTTTTTGCCTCCGGCAATAGTTGAAAGCGGTTGGTCAAGTACTTGGAGAAAAAAAGATCTTTGTTCAAACAACAACAACAACACTGACAGCAACAACAACATGAATGCCAATAAATAAACTAGAATAGAGCAAAACTACCCACTCGCGCTCACGAGCTCGTGTGACTTAGTTACTAAACATGTTCACTTCTAACACTCGGGTCACGGCTAAAAATAAAGTGTTCTAGAAAAGTGAAGGACTTCAATCATCTTACGTATAGGTGGCACCCATTTCCAATTTTAAATTCTTTCCTGTGATTGTTTGCATGGCCGAACGTCTCTTCCGTGATGAATCTGTAGACGATACCGAATATGGAATGTCACAAGTACTCGAAGTGCCATCTCCGAGTGTTTTTTCTACCCCGGATCCTTCTATTGTAGATCTGAAATTGAAATAGAAATCAATCAGTTACTGTCATTAGTTTCATTATGAAGATATACATATGTCCATAAAGTTCCTACAATTTCAATTTTGTTATGAAGTCAATATATGGTATAGATAAATTCACGATGCAATTTTAAAAAATATTAGAACTGCATGGACGCCCTATACGTTGCCTGCTCCTCACGCAAAATAAATTCAACTTTCAATGTAGTCTCCCTGCTTTCTTTTTATGAGAGTAGCTGGCTAGTTATTTGTTTCAGAAGCATAGGCTTGGTGGCGAAGAAAGTCTCAACCGACTAGCACTTGCGCGAACCACCCAGAGACGACGAGGAATCGAGCTATTCCCTTGCACATAATTACACATTCAATGTGATTCCAACCTGTGAATCCACGCTTGGTAGCCAGAGGTTAGATGGCGAGCGTATTTCTAACGCTCATCATTTCCAAAGTTTTGGGTGTAATGTATATGGAATTGTGCATTCACAATTTCGACTTATTTGCAGTTCCACGATATTGAAATAATAATTTTTATGAACACGATTTACCGTTGTATAGCCATTGCTAAATACTCTTTGCCATCGGATGCGTCAGCCAATGCAGCTTCCGATGCTCGTTCAAGCTGATCTGTTGTAACCTGAGCATCTTCGGATGTGTTGCCACCATATTTCATAACGATGAATATGCAGCTGTTAAAAATTGGTAAATGCTTAAATCAAATTTAACGCATATAGTAATTTGTGTATTTAATTTGTCCTGCCGTGTCATTTATAAGTTAAACGTCATGCCTTGACGGTATGTTCCGCAGATGGTAATTATAGAAGTGGGTTGTTCACAAAACAATTGGTTTGTAGAACTTTTGTAATCTGATCAATGCCCATTTCACTGCTTTGAATTTGCGATCATTACTATAATAAAATACTGTACCAAAATTACTTCTAATTCGTGCTTGTGTTGGGCTGGAATATTCACTGTTGAATTGTGTAAGTCAATTTATTTCGAATTGCGCCATGATACAAAAATATTACAATACACAGGACAAGCACAGAGTGCGGGATATTCAGAAAAGTTGCCTGAAACTTCAAATGGATTTTAAAATATAATACATGAATGTACCATGTCGAAAATATAATACACGTGAAAAACACAAAGCGGGATTTAAGCTTATGATATTACACAAATATACGATGAAATACTCCAAAATGGGGTGTCATGTTTGGCAAGAATGTAAGGAAACATGCTGTGGAAATACGAAAAAATAAAGTGTTACATATTTGCCCCTGCACTCTAGGTCTTACATTTCCCACGAAACCAAACTAAATTATCACGTAGGAGAAGTATACACACATTATGCTAAACCTAGGCAAACAACAAAATACACCTAACTATTTTATCACAAGAGTGGAATATACAATTGACGTCAAACCCATGGCAAAATACGCGAATTGATACACTGCACAGTCGTTAGTCACTGTGAGCATAATAATTGACGTTTGGCTTGTTACTTGATTATCTTCCGCCACACACACACAGAGAGAGTGTGTAATTAATTTTACTAAGCGTTAGGTGACTCCGCTCTTCGCCAGAAATAGCATCGGTATAAAATATAGGTAAAAATGTCATCAGAACATTCAACCGATGATATAGGTACACTAACATAACAATATACAATGACCGGTGTATATCCCACAGTTTATTTGTAGTTTCTTTATTTCTTCTAACAGCTAACGCACCCACAAGAAATAAATTTTCATTATGGCGTAGGCTTGCGTAATTCGTAATTGGGATTATGATGAATCAGTACAAAAACTAATGTAAATATGTTATCAAAACATTTTGATAATGCTATATGTACAGTCATGTACTAATATGCTATGATTGGTGCATTACCCATAGTTCACCAAAGTGACCTGAAAATATATATACTGACAGTTAGCCCACTTATTAGGTGCAAGTTCCCTCATGGCATTGACTATGAAATTGGGTTTAGCTGATCAATTGTGAATGGATCACATCAAACATTAACCTAGTAATACTACAGTAAATTGAAAGCAAAATTCCTCCCCAAGAACGTCAAATACTCCCCCCCCCCCCCCCGATTAGGGAAAATTTCCCCCAGGGTTCGATTAGAATGAATGTATTCTGATAAGATTTGGAACCTTTTAACCAGTGGTGTATATTTCGGCCCGCGAGCCGGATCTGACCCATTAGAATGATATATCCGAGCCACTTGCGACTGCTGAAATTACGACTATAGTTTTCATAGATATAAATTTCCGCTGAAAATATTAATGAAAATAACGTTATGATCACCCCAATCGTTACATTGTGCCTCTTATTACTTTATAAACGTTTGCCTAGTTCTTGTAAATAAACTGTTATTTATTCATAGTTTTTCATATTTAGTTTTAAGCCTTCGGCCCAGTAACCAATCTATTATATGTAACTGGCCCTCAAGGAAAAGTAATTTTCCACCCCCTCACCTAATCGGGCCGTTTGTCTCGTCAGGCACAGTAATTTTTATTGTTCGCGTATGCGAATCTCCGGTTGGTGGAATCGTTGTTGGTGGGGAAACACTTTCTGGAGCTGCAAAGAAAAATGAGCAATATTAGAGAAACAGACAACGCTCATATAAGTCAATCAATACCCCAAGTATATTTTGTGGCAGTGATCATTGTGCATTTGATCAAAATATTTTGTGCATTTGATCAAAGAAAAAAATCAATTGGGCAGACTCAGTGGTTCTCAAACGGCGGTTGCGCCACAAACGGGGGCGTAGACAATTTTTTAGAAGGTTCGGAGCCAAATATTAATATTTGTTAGATTTGAACTTGCTCTCCTAAATTTGGATGTTTACATTATTTATTTTGGATATTTACCCTTCATCCACGTATTCAATGTGTTTTTCAAACAAAACATACTTTCGCATACTATTGTTAGCTAGTTACTTTTGAGGTACGTTTTTGAGGGACGAGGCTTTTTTGAGTAGCGGTAGGTGATTTTATAGTTTAAACATTTACCGACTGCGCAATTTGAGGGAAAGGTTTAATTTATAACAGCATCAGTCAAAACAATCATAATACGACACACAGCTATTTACAATACTTGAAAATTATTAATCAATAGCTCGTTAATCTATGACAGTTCTGTTAAATACAGATTGACTGAACAGTTGTGACCGTCATCATTACTTGACAAAATAATACAGCAGTCGCGGTCCATCGGGTCAATTATGTGCAAACAATGTATTTTAGTTGGGATAGCCAGTGGCGATGGGTTACACAAACAGGATGCAGCAGTCTAGTTAGCGAGAGTTGGACTGAGTAGTTCAGATGTTAGATCTGGGAATGTAAATTTGTGCAATATGTAGATTCTGTCGCTAGTAGGAATGAGCAAGGCGTTACTGAACAGAATAATCTAATCCTAGCAGGGTGACAAAGCTGTTACTTATTTGGTTTCCTATTTATCTGAGTAGAAAATTGAAGTGGTCTAGGCTTTATTTCGCGATGCGCTTTGGAATATTTAATTTTAATTTAGAAAACCAATATATGCAGTTATATCTTAAGATTGTCATTCATTCGGAACCATTAGCTGACTGGCTGTACTAGCATGGCCAGACTGGATACAAGTAGTCATGGCTTGTATCAAGTTTCTATATCAGTGTTTCCCAACCCGAGTCCGCGGTCTCAAATGAGTCCGCGCAGCGTTTGAATGAGTCCGCACGTGCCAGAAATTAACTATCAGCCAAGTTACGATTTACGTTAGAATTTACATAAAACATAAAAAGCAAGTTTATTCACATAACATTAATCGAGTCAATAATTACTAGTTACTGAGTAGGGCTGGGTATATATTTGAATATTCAACTATTAGAATAGCAATTTTACTATTCGAATCTTTAGTAAAAGGTGATGCGACGGGTCACTTGCGCGTCGCCTAATCAAACGATTGGATTTCACAGTTCAATTGAGGAATTTCAGACCAAAACACGACAGCACTCGCGTCGATAGATACCTATGTGTTGTTTCTCGCGAATTCGAACAAAAATAAATATTTTTTTGTGGTGGGTGTCAATGGTGGTAACCCAAATTTTCTAAATTGGAAAGCGGCAATACAAAATACTAAAAATAAAACCAGAACACCACCATAAGTTTTGTTTTATGATGGCCCGCGACCGATTAAAACGGGTTTTTAGACATGCAAATAGCAAAATTCCGGGTGCTACGTGCTATACGAACCAGGGCATTTCCCCTTAAAGATTCTTCGCTTTGCTGCCTCCACATTGGTACGTACAGTACTAGAGCGCCATAAGTGTTGTACAAACAGCTTAGATTTGTCGAATTCACAAAAATACGAATCAAAAGAAAATATAATCGGGCACTTTACCACGCATTTTTGTGTCCACGGATTGTCATGATATTTTCTGAGTAGTATTGCTTTTATTTCGTTAACACACGCAGATTGAAATTATCACAATTAAATTAATAACAAGCAAGGCATTGAATATTTATTTTTGATTTACCAATATACTTTAAAAAGTACTAAATCAAGTTGTACTTTCTGGAAATGTATAGCAGATGCTTTCATCTTGTCGTAAGTCGACACAACCGCGAATTGAACACTATTAAATTAAAATAGAAAGAATTTTAAATTCTCGTCGTTATCATGTATTGAATATTGTTTGACAGTGAAGGTATTAATTGAAAAACCCGATTTTGGAATTCGTTAAAATTCTGTTGTGTTTGGTTTTATTGCTTCTTCGCACAGAGTACGGTTGCAGTAAACGCACCTTGAGTCCGCAAACGTTTTCGCCGGTGAAAAAATAGTTCGCGATCAAAAAAGGTTGGGAAACGCTGTTCTATATACATACGTTTTTGCTTTAACTGTATTTAATTTCCGGCTTTCAATTTTATTGAAAAAAAATATTTTTTTGTATTCGGGTTTTGAGATTAGATTCAACAGTTCGTGGTCCAACCATTGATGGGGCATCATCAGTAGTTATTTCCGAAAGTTTCGCAAAAGACAATTCCAGACGCTTGCTTTTTTTTCATTTTTCACCACAGCTCCCAACAGACCAATGCCTCTAGTAGTACCCTTAATAGGGACGATGGCCGCGAGCTCTGAGGTAATTTCAAAGATTTCCGCAATTAGCGCCAAGGAATACGATGCAAAATTTCCCGCCTTTGCAATTAAAGTTTCCGCTATAGAGTTCTCAAGCTCTTCGACATGACGAGCTATGATCTGTTCTGACAGGCTATTTTTGCAAACATCTCTTTTGTTTCAGGACGTAACATTGGCAATCCGAACAATACATAATATACATTCCTTAACGAATTCTCAATCATGAGTATGGCTTCGATTGTTTTGCGATAACGTCATATAGAGTAGTGAAAGACTAAGTGTGTAAGCGGCTATAGCACTTTTATTTGTCTCCTCCCAGTTGGTTTCGATTCAAAATGGCACTAATGACTCATTTGTAGGGCTGGCAGAGCGCATTTCAGGAAAATAAATCAATCTTTGTATTACATCTTTGTGTACTGCATAACTCGAAAAATATTAAAATTTTACTTCATTTTCTATTATTCAATTCCTAAAAATACAGCCCGGGCCACTCGAAATGCTTCCGCGGGCCACGGATTGGACGACCCTGAACTAAGGCTTTGTTTGGATGTAACATGAGATGCGACAGGCGACGACAAGGGAAATCGTCGAAGTCTGCAAGGTTAGTGCAATTTCATTATTATAAATGAGTTATTTTACCTCTCACATCTGTGACACATTGTCCAACCGCCGATACTCTATCGCTTCCACCAGCGCAACTCATTGCTTTAACGTAGAAAGTATAATTACGATTTGGCTTCGTTACAACTTGAACATGAAATGTATCCAACTCTGTTCCTTTGTATGTATAGTTTGTGGTAAATATTTGTTGCTTTAAACTTGTGGGCAGTAGGACAAATTTAGCTTCTTCGCCAACCTTAATTTAAAAAGGATATTTTGAATGCACATACTAGCTAAAACAAGTATGCTTGGAGTAAGTTAGCGGTATTTGTAATGAAAGTGAAAAGATAACTCATACGATATGGATATCGCAGGCGGCAACTGACTTATCTTTACCAAAGCAACGTCAGTAAATGCCGATTTGCATTAGAATCAACAATCTGAAGTGTTTATGTGGGGTTTTCCAAATAATCCATTTAAATTACCTAATTTTTTAGTTTTTGCTCACGGGCTCGCTCTATTTAGCGTTCGGGTTATTGCGAAAGACTAATTCTTTTGCATTTTTGGTACTTCCGTAGTATGTGTACTAAGTTAGGGTTAGTCATAATTTTCTTCCGTTTTTACTTAAGATTTCCGGTTGAACTGAGATTAGGTTAGTTATAATTCGGGGAATGCCTGTATCAGCCATGTGAATATACCCCCTCCCTCCAGTCCCTTTACACAACTTGATGTAAACTAGGCGAACAGAATTAGTTACCTTCATATTGGTACATACATTTATGGAGCATCTCGTTTTTGATAGCATTGTTGGCTTCATAGTGTATTTCAAGCACTTAAAAATGATTTAAACAGACTCATTGATCGTTGGTGCAAAGTAAGTAGCCTTACTCATGACTTGATGATAACGTAGTACGAAATGTCCTACCATAATGACCTATGAAGAAGTCAAAGCCCATTACTCCATAACGCGTTTTTGATTTGTCGAATGCACATTCTATCATGTTTAATGCAGAATTATGGCACTATCATGATAAACACAATTTTCTATGTATATACGCATTCATAATTCACATTCGTAAGAATCAAAATTTATGGAGATATTCCACAATACTGGTTATTACCTCGAATGTCGTATCCGCTTTCGGTATTGACTTCGACCACGACCAGGTGATGTTGCATTGTTGATCAGAGATCACAACTCGGGCGTCGGTAACCGGACTCGGTATCCCAATTCCGGTTTTTATTAGTGTTTGTGCGTGCAGTTTTGTAATGCACTTATCCGGACAAACGGTTATCTGAAATGATATCTGGTTTATCAACTTTTAGACTATGACACCAATAAGAATTACATAATTTGGTACTACGTATGACTCTATGCAGACATATCCATTGAATCAGCATCCGGAAGCCTGTGTATATCACAATGACATCGTTTCAAATTTCATAATATTTAAAAAAAGGTTGGTATTCAAAAGAAAACATCGAACGAAACGCGATTTCTCACTTTTGTGAACATGTCACACAAGTTATTTACATCAATTATGATTATATCTATTTTTAAAGTGTAACTATTTAGCCTAATTCAATAATAACGGTTTTGAGGCTGTTGAGTTATTAACTCTCAATTAAGTGCTTGTAGAAACATAACATATACATAAATACAACTAAGTCTTCACTATGTTACCTTGATTGTATAGTTGGTGTGGGGAGCAAGCTTTCCAATTTCCGTAGTTTCATGTGTTTGTGCTGTTATGTTTTGTGTGTAATTAGCTATAGTGTCACCTTTGCGAGTTGCTGAAATTCTGAAAAATAGACAATGCGTTATTCAAAGGTAATGAAACTGCAAAAAGTCTTTTATGTATTTTTTTCACAAATTTAATGATGATGTTTTTGTAATCACACAAATCATCACGTAAACGTTAAAAAAAATATATTTTAATGTAATGAATGTATATTTTAAAACTTTTATATCTGTCAACTTGCTCGAAACGAAACTTTATTGCAGAATAGAAGAATCTGGAGTTTATATTGATTTTGAGAGATATGTAGGTCGCTAACACGGCGAACCACAGCTTTTATCCAAATATCTAGTCACTCATAATCATATATGGTATTAATTAGCCTATTTCATATTATTTATTGTAATTAACTAACTTTATGTAACTGAACTTGTGATATGATACAGAATTGAATAAAATGGCAATTGCACATAATATAGTAATATGTAACTAGAACATTATTTTGTGAGCAAAAGATGGTCATTAAGTATTTGTTTTGCCCACCACCTCCACAGGATGTGATTAAGACTAGGACAGGAAATGCAGTACCACCAACATTTCATTTCATCCTGGTTTATTAACTTCTTATATGATAGTGACTGTTTGTTTGTCTTGTTTAGTGAGTGGGGCAGAATAATCTTGTGAAAAAGGTCATTATTTATAATTAAAATGCATTATCATTGAATAACTTCATTACATAAAAATTGTTTTACAATATTTCCGCGACGCATTGTTTACCTGTGGACGATGCCGATGGTTTGATTGTTAGGTTTCCATTCAATCGTAACCTTTCCTTCAGCACTGCATTCCGCTACTTCATGATTCAATATGACAGGTGGCCCGTACACTGTAAAAATATAGAACATATTGTTTTTTATTGATTAGTTAGAATTTAGTGGTTCTCTACTTTTTTTTTTGCGTCTGTATGTTTACTCTAAAAACACGTTGAAAATACGTGGATGGAACGGTAATATCCAAAATAAAGCGGGCAGTATCAAATCTAACAAATATTTTGTTTTACATTAGCTTCAGGCCCGCTCAAAAAATTGTCTGCGCCCCCTTTTGGGTCGCGCTCCACCGTTTGAGAACCACTGATATATGAATTAATGAATTTAATATTATCCTATTAACCTTAATGCTCAATGTAGAATTTTTTCAAAAGTATCTGCAACAGAATTCCAACTTATACAGGTAAACGCAAATACAATTTGGGTTCCCGTACCGCAGTTCCCCTCGGCCCAAAAGACGTTTAGTTATACAGCGCTTGAGTAATAAAATTATTTTTCGTTTGTTCCTTCCTCAAACTGCTGTTATGAAAAATATTGTTATATAATTTTAATTACGATCCCGTTTATTTTAACAGATCGTCCATAATCTAGTGACCTTAATGATTATATCAGAAAATTTTTACTCTCTTAGGTACTTGCTTGCGTTTTCTTTTCAACCGTTAATCTACTACACTATTGGAGTAGGAATAATTAGAGAAAGCCTGATCAGAAATGAAGAAAAGCGCTTCACCAAAGTAATAAAATCTAGATAGCAATTTCGGATAGGATTGTAGGGGATACAAATATTTATCCCGGTCAGAAGAAAGCCGATAAGACAACCTAATCATATGGCCAACCACTGCCATCGCACCTTCACCAGCCCATGTCGGGTATGGGATTAGTTGACCAGTTATTTGTCCCATACACATGGAATTGATGATTTGAACGTGTATTTTTATGCCCTGGTTCTATAAAACGCTCTAGCAACAAGACCATCCCGCTCATCAAATTTTGACGAATATAAGAATCTGATTTATGAAATTCATGTATAATCTGGTATAATTTTCAAACTGCGCAAACAAAAATCGTAATATAAACACCATTGTATGTCATATATATTTTTGAACGCCAACACCGCGCGCAATAAACAGCTATTGTATTTTAGCTTCCGTAATACTTCAGAACTTGGAAATTATTGGGTGAGTGCGACAATTACAAAAGTGCACTCGTTCGATTGAGACTCTCGATAACAGACGTTTTCGTCTAAAATACCCTCAACGAATGCAATGCATTAAAAGTTTGGATTATTCCATCGTCCGTCTTTATGGTTCCAGGGGTAGCAAGTAAGTTCGTTCGGTAACCATAATCAAGTTAAAATAATATTTATGTTTTTCACCTGTTAATTCTATCTCCCGTTCAGCTTTGGTTTCCTGTTGAGCCCGTTCCCCTATATTGTTGGTGGCACGACATGTGTAAGTCCCATTATCCGCCAATGCAGCATTCATTATATGGAGGAAAGATTTGCCAGTACTTGTCACTTGATATATAGAGCTATCTCGGCTTATCGGAACCGACGTTTCATTTCTTATCCAACCCACTTGTGCAGCTGGTGAACCGGATGCTTCACATATCACGTGATTTGGACCGGTGGTTACTGGTGAAGAGATTGCTTTTGGAAATATGTTGGTGATGTTCACAGGATCTGAAAACAATGGTTGACAATTAGGTTAAATGTTTCTTGCGTTTGAGATGCGATTCTATGAATTTATTCATCTTCCTGGTTTTCCCTCCGTCCGTATATCAATTCCAATTATTTCGAAACGTATTGTTTGTGCCATTTACAGATTCCCAATTGATAATACACGAAAGTCCTAGACGCGTGTCTGTGCGCAATACTAATAATATTGTTTCAAGGCTGCGCCGTGAAACTGTTTTCGATCAACAAAATATTTGCTTGAATTTTTCATCAGCGAATATTACCAGATGTGCACAAAAAATATTTACATTCTCTTGTATCGTTTTTGCAATCTGGTGTGTATAAAGCTAGATTTATTTTCATTTGAAAATATTGGTCAGTTAAGGCGCTTTAAAAGTAGTGAACCATAATAAATAATGCAAATTACTCTTATCAGTGATATCGATTATCACTTATCTGTGGCCATTATATTACCATTAAAGAAAGACAGTATCGTGCCGTTTCAAGCATCCTAAAGAAAAATGTTAAGATTCTGTATTGGCATCCGAAACCTTGGCAAAACGCAGGTCAGATGAATTATAAAGTTCACCTTGACTAACTAGAATTACGACTGTAAAAACCCCTTTGTCTGAAATATCATAAATATTTGATAATAGAAAAAGATTCTAACCTAAAACCCTGATTATGGATATAAATACAGGAAATATGATATATGCCGGTTTCTCTAAAAACATAAATCTAATAATCAGAGCATGGTTATGTAAGCCAAAAAAACCGATGACCTGTGAGCGATGGCTTGTGAAGAAAGAATTTGCGGAGCACCTTACGTAAATATCACGACATCATTCCTTTTCGTATCAAAGGGAATGACTGGTAAACTATTTATATAGTATGCTGTTATGTCGATCGAAAGGTCTGCATTAGCGCAATTTTCGAATTTTGTGTTTCCGGTGCATCCGGTAAAACAAATCGTGTGATTTATATTTACTTACTGTATCGTACTTTACGGACAACAATGCAAACAACCGGAACCAAAACCAAACCACAACCAAAAGAAAACAACCGTCGATAAGTTGCTGTGATTGGAGTTATGTCCGAGCATTAGGCGCACCTAGCGCAAGACAAGACCGAAACGGCGGTTTGTTTATAAAACAATGGTACCGGTACTGTTTTCAAGTGTGACCACAAAGCACTACATCGGCGCAATCTATAGGGCCCAAGATCGATATTTAAGGAAATAATGGAATTTAAAATAGGAAAATTTTAAAATAAATAAAGAAGGTACGCCCGAATCTTCTTATCAATCAGCATCTGTATACCTGAACAAAGAGAGTTGCGGAACACCTCGCGATAATGTCATTCAAACATCTTGATTATATAAGATAATAAAAATATTGATCACATTAATATTTGCATATCTAATTTTTGCGTAATACAAATCAACTTACAGTGTACATTTAGTCGAACTGTCGCCAATTTTGTATACGATTTCGATTCGACAGTTAAAGTTACCACGAATTCATAAAAAACGTATTGGGAGTCGTTAATTGGAGTAGTATTGTAAGTGTAAGAACTGATGACTCCGCTAATACTTCGAACGGAATTTGTTTTATCCGGGAGTTTGAACACTTGCATTCTCACAGCACCACCAGAGCTATGTATCTTCACGTTGATAGATGCTGTATTACCACGTACTACAACCATTACTTTGTTCGTTGGTGTGATAGTGAGAAGTTCTGAAACAATATTAAACGTATGTTAAAATCGCGAGTTCACTATCTCAGGTTCAAATCCTATACACACCACCTCACTCAGAGTGTGTTAATCTGACAGGCAATGTAAGATAATGCTACTTCCATTCATAACATATACACCTTCGTCTTATATTATGCAAATGACCTCGAAATGTCCTGATACATCATTGCTTTGGTCATACATTGTTTGGAGAAATTGCAATTACGCTAAATGTCAACCTCACAAAATTAAATTTAGTTGTGATTCAGAATATTTTCACCTAAGAAATAAAACTGATTATGCAATTACGCTTTGCTTACCTGACTGGCAGATGTAACGCCTGTGCGCGGTACATGCAATATCTGTCCATTTTTCGTTAGAGTGTCCAATAGCTACACATGTATTGAGACCTCCGTCGTTACTTTCACCCCGTGCCCTGTGCAAATAATTGAAGGATGCCTGTATCAGACTGTTTATTCTATATTTTTGTGGTTAATTTTGAATGCGATGTCAGTTTGGTTCGTCTATTGCATAGAGAAACACGGGATGACTAAAGGTATTGATATTCTTTTGTTTCATGTTCCATTGACGGCGTACGCGTGCATACGTTAAGTCGTGCTTGTCTGCGTTAAGCTGTGCTTGCTTTTTCGTGACAGAATTGAGTTCCATCTCATAGAAGGTTGAGTTATTGATTTTTATTCGCTTGTGGCTCGGACAGAGATCTATTACGGAGCACTATTTGGATAGAATATTGTTTATTTACTGAAACATGTGTTGTATGGGAGGCGTTTGGAGGTCAATAAGTTGTCCATGGGAATGGGTTTGTGAATCTCAATAGCAGCTTACCAATTCATATATGTAGCACGAACTCCATCGGACCATGTCCAAAATCCGAAACTTTTCGTGAGTCCAATAAAGTAATCTCCGTTTGAATTTGATGCGGTTGCGCCACTGTAACGAAATAATATAAACATGATGTAATTTAGGCAGGCAATGCTGATTTTAATATTATTTTTGGAGAAAGTATCAATAGTTTTGGAACATAGTTTTTAAATATGAATGCTTCTCATTCATCGGGTGGGCAATTTTATATTTATATGGAAATAAAAACTCAGAATGCTTTTTGGGAAAGGAGAAATCAAAAATTTCCTGTAAACAGAATGTAAAAATCTGTCCCAACGTGGCTAAATTTGAGCCCATAAATGCATTTTAATTAACGCTTTTATAGCAAGGTGTAGAGATGGACGAATTCGGGCGGATGCGAATCTAAAAACGCCGGATACCAGGATTTGGTCCTTGCGTCCACGCGTTTATAAACAGAACGTAAAAATCAGTTTCTATCTATTCGAGCCAATGAAATACAATACATTTTCTAAAATTGTACATGAATGTTCAGCAGAGTAATATATAAAAATGAATTACTCCAGAAGAACATTAACTTCGCCTTGCATATTCTCGTCTTTTATCCGCACCAGCCATGCGCTACGTGCATGACATTTCTGCTCTGCTGAAGTCATGGTATGAACTTGAGTATCGAATCTTTCAAGTAAGTATCCATCGTCGGTTTTTATAGTTTTTGCAGGTACTGTAACAAATTAAATAAGTAAATAGGGAAAATACGAAATTTTCTTCTTGCTAATCTCATAATTTACTCCGTACAGGGCTCTTTTCCACCGTGTAATTGTCTTGTCGTTTTTTATTCGAGCGTATCCTTTCCAAAAAGTTTATGGAAATTCAATTGATGTTACGAATAAATCTTTTAATTTATGCAACGAATACCGATCATAATATCGATTTAAGCTATTAACCACGAGCTCTAATGCTGGGATCGGTACCATCACCCACTGCCTTGAAAGAATGCTAAAAATTTTTTACAGGCTCGGTGCGTCAGAGTGACGTGTTCGAATACTTTGTTGGTTTTATTGAAAAATAACGTCTAACCTACCTTGAGCATTAACAAACAAGTGTTTACTTTGCGAAAGTAAATGAAACAAGCTTAATAAAATATGTCCAGATAATTTCAAGTCCATTGTATTTGTTTGTTCGGTCAGTAATAGATCAGTTAATTATAATCCATCATGTAAATGTATCTTGTACCAATATTTCAACTGAGAAAAAAATTTGAATCGATACCATTTAATTACACCAAGTCTCTAATCAAGCCTAATTCCTGCTTTGAGTTTTACATTTTACTGGCCGACAGAATATCATGAATCCAAATGTATATTTTTATTTCAAACATTTGCCTAAGGCTTTATATCTGTATTATCAAATTTTTATTTTGCTACTACATTATATTTCAAATCTGATTGTCAATATGCGCGTTAGTATTGCCTCCTGGTTAAATTAGGTACAGGCAGTACAGGCAGAAAGTTCGAAACTCTCATTTGTTCAATGCAGCACCTAACTAATTGGATGTGATAATTTTTATATTATTTCTAATTACTTTAAATTAATCATATTTTTTTCCGCTAACTTTCGGGCAATTGCTGTTGTAACCAAGTTCCAAATTTTTTCCTTAATATTATGTGATTTGGCTTCTTTTCACTTGTTTTTAAAAAAAAAAAATATTTTGCTTTGTCGACGCATTCGATTAACATTGTTTGTTCAGCCAATGCCCATTTGGAGAAGACACTCGTTCAAAAAATGGTATGACGTTTGAAGATTCGTGTTTTTATGTTTCTTGAGTATAGAATAGTATTATTCAATTTTATAAATCATGGACGCTTACGTCTTCTCGCTAATAATCAGACAGAAAACTTGGATACAAGGCTCGACTATGAACAGGTTAGAAATCGGAAATGAAAAAAGTTCAAAAATTATTCTAAATTTTCGGACGATTATGTATACGTCAGATTATGATTATGACATGGATAGTTCAGGTCTGATTAAGAGTTTAAATTGTTGAATTCAGAAGAATAGTGTTCCAATATTTGAGTTCAGTGGTATTTCCGGGTTTGGGCCAAAACTATGTTTGAAAACTTAGAACAATAGTATCGACCGTGAAAACAAATAGTAATAATAGTATTGAAAACTTCACTCTGGCTGCAATATAATTTCTTACCAAAGATAGTGTGCTTAGCTTGTTTAGAAAAAATTGAATACCGTGAAA